TTGTTTAGCTAACCACTAACTAGTATTTTACTGGTTATTTACCTGCCTTTTGTTTAGCTAACCTCTAACTAGTTTTCTTGTGGTTATCTACCTGCCTTTTGTTTAGCTAACCTCTAACGAGTCTTCTTGTGGTTATACCTGCCTTTTGTTTAGCTAACCTCTCACTAGTCTTCTTGTGGTTATCTACCTGCCTTTTGTTTAGCTAACCTCTAATGAGTCTTCTTGTGGTTCTACCTGCCTTTTGTTTAGCTAACCTCTCACTAGTCTTCTTGTGGTTATCTACCTGCCTTTTGTTTAGCTAACCTCTAACGAGTCTTCTTGTGGTTATCTACCTGCCTTTTGTTTAGCTAACCTCTCACTAGTCTTCTTGTGGTTATCTACCTGCCTTTTATTTAGCTAACTTCTCACTAGTCTTCTTCTCGTTATCTACCTGCCTTTTGTTTATCTAACCACTAACTAGTCTTTTACTGGTTATTTACCTGCCTTTTGTTTAGCTAATAACTAACTAGTCTTCTACTGGTTATATACCTACTTTTTCTTCAACTAACCACTAACTAGTCTTTTACTAGTTATTTACATGCCTTTTGTTTAGTTAACCTCTAACTACTCTTCTTGTGGTTATCCACCTGCCTTTTGTTTAGCTAACCACTAACTAGTCTTCTACTGATTATCTGCCAGCTTTTTGTTTAGCCAACCACTAACTAGTCTTCTATTGGTTATCTACCAGCTTTTTGTCAAGCTAACCACCAATAACTAGTTATTTACTGGTTATCTACCAGTTTTGTCATGTAGCTAACCACTAACTAGTCTTCTACTGGTAATCTACCTGCCTTTCGTTCAACTAATTACTAAATAATCTTCTACTGGTTATCCACCTGCCTTTTGTTTAGGTAATAACTAACTAGTCTTCTACTGGTTATATACCTATTTTTTCTTTAGCCAACCACTAACTAGTCTTCTACTGGTTATCCACCTGCCTTTTGTTTAGCTAACCACTAACTAGTCTTCTACTGGTTATCCACCTGCCTTTTGTTTAGGTAATAACTAACTAGTCTTCTACTGGTTATATACCAATTTTTTTCTTTAGCCAACCACTAACTAGTCTTCTACTGGTTATCCACCTGCCTTTTGTTTAGCTAACCTCAAGCGAGTCTTCTACTGGTTATTGACCTGCCTTTTGTTTAGTTTACCTCTAACTAGTCTTGTACTGGCTATCTACCTGTCTTTTGTTTAGCTAACCTCTAACTAGTCTTTTACTGGTTATTTACCTGCCTTTTGTTTAGCTAACCTGTCACTAGCCTTCTGGTTATCTACCTGTCTTTTATTTAGCTAACCTCTCACTAGTCTTCTCATTATCTACCTGTCTTTTGTTTAGCTAACCACTAACTAGTATTTTACTGGTTATTTACCTGCCTTTCCTGTGTTTCAGGCTGGCAGGGTAACGGCTACAGCTGTCAGGATGTGAATGAGTGTTTGACCAATAATGGTGGCTGCTCCATCACTCCAATGGTTCAGTGTCTTAACACCATGGGTTCCTTCCACTGTAGCTCCTGCCCTGCTGGTATGTCTGAACTCTAGTCACAAATATAGAATCACGACTGGTTTTTGACATCCATGATCTTTATCTAATGTTTTTGACCTTTTCTCACCGTTTAGAGAAAGTATAGTCCTGCCTCTCTGCTTTTGTGCAGAAGCTTTTAACAACTAGATCTCATCTCATGCAGATAAAACCATCTGTGCTGTTTGATTTTAGTTTGAGTTCTTGTTTTTGTGTCTGTGTAGGTTATGAGGGAGATGGGAGAACATGCACACCAGTTAATATCTGCTCTTCCAACAATGGAGGCTGTCACCCATTAGCTACTTGCTCTTCTAACCAAGGTAAGACCAACAAGCTGGTAAAGGTAAAGGGTTTCAATTTTTGTGAGAACTGTGTTTAGAAAAATCACCCCAATGTGTAACAATAATTGAGTGTGAATGCAGTTTTAAATGTGTGCACAAGACGACATGATACTGCATTTTCTCCTTGTGTTCCTGGGATTAAACCACCACCAGGTTCCAGCTTCCCAGTATGCACCTGCCCACCAGGATACAGTGGTAATGGTTACGGCCCGACTGGTTGCTCTCAGATTAGTGACCGCTGTCAAACCAACAACCCTTGTGTCAACGGAGAGTGTGTGGTAAGAGTTCGGGACAGTCATGTTGGCATCAGCACAAACACCTCAACTACAATTCAAAAACAAGAATTATGAGGCTTCTAGAACAGAAGATTTCCCCTTTTCCTTTCCCCCCTCTGCTCTGTTGATTTCTGTGGCACTGAGACGGCGTCTAGAAATGTGGAAAATGTTTTAGCGAACATTGAAATACATTTTCATGTATCACTGACTATGTATACCTGCTGTGTAAGGAGGTGTAGACATTGGTGATCTTTTTCAGGTTTTGTGTTGTATTCTTGGCAGTAGACAGGGCCATATGACGCATTAGAGTCATGTTTCGGCTCTATAGCCTCACAATCATATGCTGGATTTTGTTGGTCGCAGAGCACTGCTAGCCCTCCTGGGTACCTTTGTATCTGCAACTCCGGATGGCAAGGTCCAAACTGTGACCAGAACATCAACGAATGCCTGAGTAACCCCTGTCAGAATGGAGGAACCTGTACTGATGGCATCAATGGATTCACATGCACCTGCACTTCCCAGTGGACCGGTTTGTTCTGCCAGACTCCGCAGCAAGGTACCAGAACCAGACAGGATGGGAAGAGCAGAAATAGGCTGGACCAAAGCACATGTGTCCGGTCTGATCCTCTGGACTAACTGTGACTGTTTGTGGCAGAATGTGGAGGCCAGCTCACCGGTCCTGCTGGTTCATTCAGTTACCCGAACACCCCGGGTCACGATCAGTATGATCACCAGGTCAGCTGTGCTTGGGTGATCCGCACAGATCCAGAGAAGGTTAGTCCTCCTGCCCCAGCTCTATAACCTAAATCACCTTGTTTAAATTTTAGAGCAGCAAAGATGATTCAGCTGATTTCACTAGCGCTGTCATGTGGTGTCGAACTCAAACGTGCAACTAGAGGAAACAGAAACGTGTACCAGAAGCTTTAGTTTATACTTCAAATGTTGCTTTCATTTTTATTTTCTCTTTTCTCCAGATTCTTCGCATCACTTTTCCTTTCTTTGACCTTGAGAACAGCGCCAGCTGCAACTTTGACTTCCTTCAGATCCATGATGGCGACAGCGCCTCTGCTTACATGATTGGGAAATACTGTGGCCGAAACAATCCGCCAGACCTTTTCAGCTCACACAATTCTTTATACTTTTGGTTTCGATCCGATCATTCTATCAGCGCTGGAGGCTTCACGGTGGCTTGGCAGTCACAGGACCCAGGTGGGGGCTTTATTCTGAACTTGCCGACTCTATAAAAGACATCACACACAAGCTTGACATTCTTTGTTTAAATCTTCTTTTTTAGTGTGTGGAGGTGAACTCTCTGCAGCCTACGGAAGCATAAACTCACCTGGTTACCCTGGAAACTACCCCCCTAACAGAGACTGCTACTGGAATGTGATAGTACAGCCAGGCCTTCTGATTACGTTTGCATTTGGTACCTTAAGTCTTGAACACCATCCTGACTGCAACTTTGACTTCCTAGAGGTAGGAACAGCCGATGCCTCTTCTGTCCTGTTGATCAATGAATTGGAGAACATTTCATTGCATGAATGTGTGTGTGAATGGATGAATGATACACTGTAGTGTAAAGCGCTTTGGAGTCCTTACTCTGAGAGGCGCTATACAAGTGCGGGTCATTCAAAATGACTTAATCTTTCTGTGTTTTTTATGTAAATTTACTGTCTGTAACTACAGGACGAGGCCTAACCCGGTAAAAACAGTCACATCAAGTAGCAGCAACATAAGTGTTCATTTTGAAAATTTCAGGACATTTTTTAACTTTTCATGACTGATTGTTTATGAATCCATCTTTCTTTGTAGATAGCGTCATATTTAGCAACCAAGGGGTCACATGCATTTGAGCAACACTTTCAACTTAGCAAGTTACATTTTCGTATTTGTAATTTAGAATAAAAGCTGTGTGTGCATGTGTGTGTGCGTGTGTGTGTGCATGTTTGTGGTCATGTGTTTGTGTGTGTGTGCGTGCGTGTGTGTGTGTGCGAGCGTGCGTGCGTATGTGTGTGCGTGTGTGCGTGTGTGCATGTGTATATGTGTTAATGTGCAAGTGTGTGTGCATGTGTGAGTATGTGTGTGTGTGTTAATGTGCCAGTGTGTGCGTGTATCTGTGCGTGCGTGCATATGTGTGTGTGTTAATGTGCCAGTGTGTGGGCGTGCATGTGTGCGTGCGTGCATATGTGTGTGTGTTAATGTGCAAGTGTGTGTGTGCGTGCGTGATTATGTGTGTGTGTTTGTTGATGTGCCAGTGTGTGGGAGTGCATGTGTGTGTTAATGTGCAAGTGTGTGTGTGCGTGCGTGATTATGTGTATGTTAATGTGCCAGTGTGTGGGCGTGCATGTGTGCGTGCATGCGCGTGTGCGTGTTAATGTGCAATTGTGTGTGCGTCTGTGCGTGATTATGTGTGTGTGTGCATGCGTGTGTGATTTTCTATGAGCCAAGCAAGGTGTGAGGGTGGGTGTGGGTCCTATTCAGCCAGAGTTTCGGGTGAGCTCATTGTGAAACCTGGCCCCGCCCTATCATGTGAATTCCTGAGATCAGATGGCCCAGGATATGCGTGGGCGTTGAGGCATCTGGGAAGGGATATCAAAACTGGATTATAGATGGTAGACAGTTGGCTGAATAGGACCCGCACCCACCCTCACACCTTGGCTCATAGAAGATCTTCAGGGGGTCTTTTGTTCCCTCTTCGGGGGGAAACTCCCACTGGGTTTAAATCTGGGACTCTCCACCATTTGACCTCAGAACTGAAGAAGCCTCTCGGATGAGAGGTGAAACGTCTTCAAGCAACTCAAAGAAGTCCAGACACTTTTCTTTCAAGCTCATTAGACTACAGTCAATAAGATTATTAATCCTCCTTCTGGTCTTCCTGCTGAGATGTCATCTTTAGCAAAATGTGAGGAATTTGCATCTTACTTTAACAGTAAAATTGTGAACATTAGGCAGAATATTTCTAGATCCAATTATGACCTCATACAACAGCACTCCAGTACCGCACTCTGTACTATGACTCATTTCGAGCTTTTAAATGGTAAAGCACTAGATATCCTGATTAAACAACTAAAATCGTCCACTTGCTGCCTGGATCCTATTCCAACAATCTTTTTTAAAAATATTTTCCCCTGTGTCAAATCTGATGTTTTAGAAATCATTAATTTGTCACTTCAATCAGGAATGTTTCCCAGCGCGCTAAAAATAGCCGTCATTAAACCCTTGTTAAAAAAGAGTGGCCTTGATCCAACTGCATGCTTTCGTTCTTTTTAAACACAGAAACAGTTTTGTTTACCTGTTTTGTAGCTGCAGTTTCGCCAACTGCGTTCTCCAATTATAGACGATCTCAAACTTACCGTTTCTTAGTAAACTTCTGGAGAAAGCAGTTTTTATTCAGATCAGTCGTTACCTTATATCAAACAACATCTTTGTTACTTACCAGTCTGGTTTTCGCAGTAACCACAGCACAGAGACAGCTCTCATTAAGGTTGTTAATGACCTACACATAAGCACGGACTCTGGCAAAGTAACTGTTCTTGTCCTTCTGGACCTTAGTGCTGCATTTGATACAGTTGATCATGACATTTTGTTAGAGAGGTTAGAAAACTGGGTTGGTTCCCCCGGTCCCGTTCTTAGTTGGTTCCAAACATACCTTAGAGATAGGCAGTCATTTATGTCAGTTGGGGGGTTTAACTCTAAAAAATTAGTAGTTACTTGTGGTGTTCCTCAAGGTTCTATCCTTGGTCCGCTATTATTCAACCTGTACATGCTTCCTCTTGTGCATTGTTCAGAGGCACAATATTAATTATCATAATTATGCAGATGACCTGCAGTTAAATATTTCATTGTCTTCTGGTAATACAGCTCCTCTTCACTCTCTTATACAATGTATCAAGGATATGGATGCCTGGATGTCTGCACATTTCTTACAATTAAATCAAGACAAGACAGAAATTCTGGTATTTGGTCCGAACGCACAGAGACAGACAGTGGTAGACTTTCTCGCCTCTCTGTCTCTTAAATGTAAAAACGAAGCACGAAACTTGGGTGTATTTTTAGACAGTAACCTGAATAAAAAAAAAACACATTAATCATACAACTAAAATAGCATTTTTTCATTTACGTAACATTTCTAAAATCAAACATTTCGTCTCAAGAACTGACCTCGAAAAGCTAATCCATGCATTCATAACCAGCAGTCTCGATTACTGTAATGGTCGTTTAATTGCCCTTCCTCAGTACGCTATTTACAGACTGCAACTGATTCAGAATGCGGCTGCTCGTGTTCTGACTGGTACAAAGAATTCTGAACACATTACTCCTGTTTTAAGATCTCTGCATTGGCTACCAGTTGAAAAACAAATTGATTTTAAAATCCTACCGCTTGTATATAAAGCTCTCAATGGCCATGCACCACAATGTATTACAGATAAGCTAGTACCTTATACACCGGGCAGAACACTCTGGTCTGCAGGTCAGGGCGATCTGGTGATACCACGTACACGTTCTAAGTCAAGGGAGGCTGCCTTCAGTGTCTATGCACCTAAGATCTGGAATACTCTGCCTTTAGAGAAGAGGGAAGCAGCTACAACAAATATTTTTAGGAGAAATTTGAAAACCTTTTTATTTGAACAAACATATGGCTAGGTTGTTTCATTTCTAATTTATGTCCTCATTTCATAGAGATGGTTTTATTCATAAATAAGTTCTTACAATTATGTTTTATGGCTGTGCATGGATGTATGTGCAAATGCGTGTATAAATGTTTGTGTGCATGTGTGTGTGTGTATGTATATGTGTGTGTGCATGTTTGAATGTATAGATTTTAGTTTCATGTGTATATTTTAATATGTAAACACCGATCGTTTTTAAGGGTGTACATATTTTATAATTGTTTGTTTTATTTAGTCTCTTTTACTGTTAAGCACATTGAGTTGTTGTCGTACAGGAAATGTGCTCTATAAATAAAGTCATTCATTCATTCATCCCAACAAGTGAGCTCCAGGCCGTCCTCTCCCCGGCCTTCTCCACCAGCTCCTCCGGCAGGACCCCAAGGCGCTCCCGGACCAGATTGGAGATGTAACCTCTCCAACGTGTCCTGGGTCGACCCGGGGGCCTCCTGCTGGCAGGACATGCCCGAAACACCTCCCCGGGGAGGCGTCCAGGAGGCATCCTGACCAGATGCCCAAACCACCTCAACTGACTCCTTTCGATCCGGAGGAGCAGCGGTTCTACTCCGAGTCCCTCCCGAATGTCCGAGCTCTTCACCCTATCTCTAAGGCTGAGCCCGGCCACCCTACGGAGGAAACTCATTTCGGCCGCTTGTATCCGCGATCTCGTTCTTTCGGTCATTACCCAAAGCTCATGACCATAGGTGAGGATTGGGACGTAGATCGACCGGTAAATCGAGAGCCTGGCTTTCTGGCTCAGCTCCCTCTTCACCACGACAGATCGGCTCAGCGTCCGCATCACTGCAGACGCCGAACCAATCCGCCTGTCGATCTCCCGATCCCTCCTACCCTCACTCGTGAACAAGACCCCGAGATACTTAAACTCCTCCACTTGAGGTAGGACCTCTCCCCCAACCCGGAGTTAGCAAGCCACCCTTTTCCGGTCGTGAATAAGTGTATGTGTTAATGTGCAAGTGTGTGTGCACGTGCATGCGTGAATATGTGTGTGTGTGTGTGTGTGTTTGTGAAATATCTCATGAACCATGAAACAGATTTGAGTGAAACTCTCAGACCACAACCTCTACATTAACATTAAAGGCTGGTTGGAGTCAACCCAGTTCAAAATGGCTGCCTCAGCTAATCATCAATATAAAATATCTTTAGCTGAGTTCAGGCGTGTTTGTAGCCGTCCTTCATCCTCTGAGTGATAATAGACCCTGACAAGCTAAAACTCCATCATGATGTCTGACTGCAGCTTTCTAACGGGCATGGTTCTGAGAAGCCATGACTCGAAGGGCTCCATGTGCATGAACACATACCAGACACTGATCTGGTTCTTCTTGTGTTTGGTTTCCTCCAGATGGTTCTAGCTTATCCTAGTCCGTTTATTGGTTTTTGTGGTGTAACATATTTTAGATTCGAGATGGCCTTTTACCCGAGGATCCAGTACTTGGGAAGTTCTGCACCACTGCATCTCCGCCCCCTCTCCAAACAACTGGCCCGAGTGCATGGATCCACTTCCATTCAGACTTCAGTGTGTCTGACAGAGGCTTCCACATCACCTACACAACATCACCAAGTAGGTATCACATCCCTCCTCCTCAGCAGGAGAACACAGAAATCAGCATCAGACAAGACCGGGTCCATGTTACCGGACATCGTACCAGAACAGGGACATTTTTATAAATGTGTTGTACTTCTGCCAGTCTGACTTTATTCATCCTCCATTAGTGTGTTGCAACAAAGAGACTTTGTTTTATCATATCATTTAAAAGCAAATATAAAGAAAAATTTTAATGAAAATTTTTTTTTTTTTTTACTGGGTGGTGGTTAGGGTTAGTAGTAATAGTTAATAATAATAATTTACAGTAAAACATCCCTGGCCATCAAGAAGACATAAACGCCACAGCCGGTCCTGGGCCTCCTGTCAGTGGGACGTCTGTGGGAGGCGTCCATCTATATGCAGCAGTTCTCAAGGACCTCTATCCAGTATGTTGTAGACTAGAGGTTCCTCTGCTCCAGCAGGTGATTAACAGGCTTCTGCAGAGCTAGAAGACCTGCTGATCGGGTGATTAATCTACTGGATCAGCTGTGACGCGGCAGAGAAAGATGTCTCAAATCAGAGTTTCTTCTGAAAAAGGAAGATGATGCAGAGGTCTTCAAATAGAAAAAGTAGATCAGCCCAAATACAAAGGAAATGGAGGAACTGGTGCTCATCCTTCCCATCCTAAATGTTAGCAAATGTGGAAATGAGATCAGTTGACCTTTAACCTTTATCTAATTCGACTGCTATGGATTGAATCGTGTTTTTGAACATGAACTGAACTGGTGATTTCCTGGTTAGAACCGGAGGCGGTACGTTAAACACTCATTTGGATTTACGAAGAGGTGTGTGTTCCAACGCTGGGATGTGTTTTCTGACCTTCAGGTGACACCGGCTGTGGAGGTACATTTACTGACAGTGAGGGCATCATCATCTCTCCCAACTGGCCCAATAACTACGCCCACAACCGCCAGTGTATCTATCTGATCCGGTTACCTCTGAATGAAAAGGTGGCGCTTAACTTCACCCATATGGATTTGGAGAACCACGGCCAATGCTCTTTTGACTATGTAGAGGTAAGAACACCTGTATCAGTCTCTACCCAGTCAGGAGCACAAACTGGGAGAGGTGATTCCAGCAGACCAAGCAGAAATGTGGACGTTAATCTGTAGTCTGCTTCAGGTTAAACATTCATGTTCTTACATTTAGTCTAAAGTGGCTTTCTGATGGAGATGTTCTTCAGTCTGTGCTGTTCATGACCACCTGACCAGCTGTGGGTGAGGGTCTGCTGTGTTCTTGAATGACGTGCCTCAGATCTGGACCACTGTGCTGCACGGTCTGCACAGACGAGCTGAGCAGGGGCGGTGAAATGTAAAACCAAGCAGGAGAACATTGTTCCACATTGTCCTGAACATCTTGACGGGTTACATGATGTACAGCTAATGTTCTTTTACCATCACCTGTCCTTTGTTTGGGGCTCCTGACGAGCTCAGCCTGGCCTTGTGACCTCCATCAGTGAGGACACTGCTCATTTTATTTAAATTTAAACTTAATTTTTCTCCATGTTCTGTCCAGGTACGAGATGGGAGAATGGAAACCGATGCTCTGATAGGGAAGTATTGTGGCAGTTCCCTACCAGCTCCCATTGTCTCTTCGTCCAACTTTCTATGGATTCGCTTCAAATCAGACAGTTCGGTTAGTCGCGCTGGCTTCAGGGCTGTCTACGCTGTCGGTGAGAACATTTATCATGTGACACTGTCTTTTAAAACTCCACTAACAGTGAAGGTGTGGTGAAAGTTCACGAACGTGTGAGGTTAACCTTGAGTTTTAGGTCTAGTAGGACAATTTGTGTCTTTCAAAATTGAAAAGTGGTGAGGAACTGTGATTGTTTTAATGGCACTTCAGAAAAATTGTATATTTTTTAATGAGGAGGACTTATTCTTTTATTTTGAGTGAAAGTTAGTTTTGTCCTCATCCTTCTTCTTCAGTGGAGTTGCCCAGGTTTTACTTGTAGGGCTGTGGCAAATGATTGTTTTGTGTATTCATCTTTCTCTTAAAGTGGTCCTCCACTGAGAAATCATTTTTACTTATTATTTTTGAAAACGATCAGCCACTCTGGGCCTTTCATGCAGGCTGAACGTGAAAGTAGCCTCCTGCATTAGCTTTTAAAGGAGAATAGACGGTAAGATTCTAGAATTTTAAAAATCCTGATAGATCTACGTCATGCTATCTTCATGAACTCGACTGCACGGTGGCGCAGTGGTTAGCACTGTTGCCTCGCAGCACGAAGGTCGCAGGTTCGAAACTCGGCTGCGGCCTTTCTGCGTAGAGTTGCGTGTTCTCCCCATGCATGCGTGAGTTTCCTCCGGGTACTCCGGTTTCCCCCACAGATCACAACATGCCCTATAGGTTATAGATTGTAAGTCGCTTTGGATAAAGGCGTCTGCTTAATGAATAATCCCACTGATTTATCATTTTCAAAAACAGGAAAAAGAAACATCAAATGGTTTAATCATATAAAAGAAACAGTCATATGACATATGGTTGGGGTTTTACACTATTGACTGATTCGATGGGTGGTGCAAGCACACATTAGGTCATAAATAGTTTTAATAGTTAAAATATATGTCAGATTTTAGTCTAAAAACTAAATCGTTCAGATTAATATGAACATAATGATGATTTCCTGTTCTCCAGCTTGTGGAGGAACATTATCTGGAACTGGACACTTCCAGTCTCCCTACTACCCTAACCCCTATCCCCACAACAAGGTGTGTGAGTGGGTGGTCACCCAGCCCGAGGGCTACGTCGTCACCCTGAACTTCCTGGCTTTTGACATCGAGGGCAGCTCCTGCAGTTTTGACTTTGTTGAGGTGAAAACAACTAAGTCCATTTTTACTCACATCAACATGTTAAATCAGTTCAGCATGTTTTTGTTTTCTTCACTTTATAAATATAAATAACGACTCAGCTTGACTTGTACATAGCCTTCGTGTTACTTCACTCAGGAAGATGTGTAGGACACATTTCAGACAAAGGATGGACTTGTCATTGGTGTTTTGATTCTTCCAGGTCAGGGACGGATCTTCTCCCAGCTCTCCCCTACTGGGGAGATTTTGTGGTATTGCGATTCCTCCTGTTCTCCAGTCCTCACAGAGATCCATGTACATCCAGTTCAGGACTGACTCGTCGGTCAGCAACCACGGATTTGAAGCAGCTTATGACTCCGCTATAGAGGGTGAGAAACGTCCGTGTTGACCAGAGAGCTCACATGAGGTTTCCTCAGGCAGACAAAAAGAACACGTTTTGTCTGTTAGAAAGTTTCATTTGCCCAAAATCAAATTCTGGATGAAAAAAAAAAAGGATACAGAACATGAATTAATATGAATTTGTTGCTTATATGAAGTAGAACTATTTTAAATGAAGATAAAGAGTAATAATAAGTAGTAAGTAAACATGTGACTTAGGTTAAAGCTTTCTTTGGACCCTTTAAAACCCACTGATGTGTGTTATTTCCTTGTTGCAGGCTGTGGGGACACCATGACGACTCCTTCAGGCACCATCAGAAGTCCCGGTCACCCCAACAACTATCCCCATGGAGCTAATTGTACCTGGTACATTAGTGTCACACCAGGGAACCTAATCCGGTTGTCGTTTGATTCATTCAACCTGGAATACCATACTAACTGTAATTATGATTACCTTGAAGTATACGACAACGGCACGGTGCAGACTGGAAACAAGATCGGCAGGTACTACACCCACTTACTCAGACATGTAGGCCTAGTCCAGTGGAAGCAGCTGTAGACAGGCTAACTTGGGATTTTGGTCTTGGTGATAGCTGGTGTCTAATCCAAAAACCCAAGAATATGCTCACGTTTCTACTTTTCTACATTTACTTGGATAAACAGTTTTCTATCATGTCAAACTATCACACCTCTTCGTTAATTATACAACAGTTCCCTAATAGTAATAAGTGTTTACACACCTGAAACGTTCTACTAGATGGCACCTAAACACTTTATTGCTCAAAGACTCAGAGTTGACATCTATGATTCAGAGGGACTCTCCGTAAATATCTCCGTCAACATTACGGGAAACAGGAAAGACAGCAGAGAGAAGATTACATCATGTTCTGTTTGTACCCTTCATAAACCAACGGACCATCATCTGAATAAGAAAATTACCTAGGATTAAAGAATCATCGCACATATTCTCCAAAAACCCACATGATGCAACAATAATGGAACTCGGAACTAAACTAAACCTTACAAAAGAAAACACAGTTCACTGAAACATCAAACATCAGCATCATCCGGTGTAGGGTTGCATGGTGGCACAGTTGGAAGCACTGTTGCCTTGCAGAGAGAGGGTTGCAGGTTTGAATCTTGGCTGTGGCCTTTGTGCGTGGAGTTGGCATTTCCCCAGGAACTCTAGTTTAGTCCCACATACACAAAGTGTGCATATCAAGTTATTTGGGGACTAACTTTTCCTTTTTCCATTTATTTAAACAAACACCTTTTCTATTAATAACTGTTTCTGTTCTGATGTTAGGGAGCATTTATTAATCTTTTTGGGTATGAAAGTGTCCTGGTGGAATTGTACAAATGGAGTCTGTCCCATCTACCCACCAATCAAAGAACTTTAGGGAGTCCTAAAGTTGTGGAAGTGGTCCCGCTTTTCCACCTATTGAATGATTATCATTTATTTATTCTTCTTTTGCTACTTACTTAGGAAAAGTCCCACAACATGCACACGGCACATTGTCCATCCATCCATCCATTTTCATCCGCTTATCCAGAGTCGGGTCGCGGGGGCAGCAACCTAAGCCGAGACGCTCAGACTTCCCTTACCCCAACCATTTGGGCCAGCTCTTCCGGGGCAATCCCAAGGTGTTCTCTAGCCAGCCAAGAAACATAGTCCCTCCAGCGTGTCCTGGGTCTTCCTTTGGGTCTCCTCCCGGTTGGACGTGCCCGGAAAATCTCACCAGGGAGGCGTCCAGGAGGCATCCTGAGCAGATGCTTGAGCCACCTCAACTGGCTTCTCTTGATATGGAGGAGCAGCAGGTCTACTCCGAGCCCCTCCCGGATGACCGAGCTTCTCACCCAATCTCTAAGGGAGAGCCCACCCACCCTGCAGAGTAAACTCATTTTGGCCGCTTGTATCTGCAATCTCATTCTTTCAGTCACTACCCAAAGCTCATGACCATAGGTGAGGGGAGGAATGTAGATCGACCAGTAAATCAAGAGCTTTGCCTTCTGACTCAGCTCTCTCTTCACAACGACAGACCGGTACAATGCCCGCGTCACTGCAGATGCAAAACCAATCTACCTATCGATCTCACGCTCCGTCTTTCCCTCACTTTTGAACAAGACCCTGAGATACTTAATCTTCAATGTAGCTCTACAACCTCTGGTCACTTTGCTTCCTTTGAACTGCAGCTGAGTAAAGTCGGGCATAAGGACCCGTTCTACTGTGCTGTGGTCTATCGTCCACCTGGTCCAAACAGTTCTTTCCTTCAGGAGTTTAGTGACTTTCTATCCTCCCCTGTGAAGCTGTCCAGACTGGTGATTGTTGGTGACTTTAACATCCACGTTGATGATCCCTCTGATCACTTTGCCATGAATTTCTCCAGCCTTATGGACTCCTTCAGCTTTACCCAGCATGTTTCTGGCCCCACACACACCAGGGCGCACACTCTAGACCTTGTTTTTACCCTGAGTCTAAATGCTGACAGTGTTTGTCATGAGGACGTTTATATTTCAGATCACCATTGCATTTTCTTTAACTTGTCAGTTTCTGCATCCCCATCTCCTGCTCGCCGTATGGTTAGTTCTCGTTTTCTTAATGAGAGCACAGCTAGCAATTTTTCTGCTGCTTTTGATCCACCCTGTTCTTCTGATAACGACCCAGATTCCTTAACTTCTCAGTTAAGAGACTGCCTCTCCATTCTGGACAACATCTGTCCTGTCAGAACCAGATCAGTTCCTGCAGTGAACCCTACTCCCTGGTTTAATGACAGCCTTCGCAGCCTGAAGCACCAATGCAGAAAAATTGAGCATTTGTGGAAGAAAACCCATCTCCATGTCCATCTGCTGCACCTAAAGGATCCTCTGACATCCTTTAACTCTGCAGTCAGAGACGCTAGGTTTTCCTATTTCTCCAACCTGGTGTCCCAGAGCAAAGGGAACCCCAAGGCGCTGTTTAACACCATCAGCAGCATCGTCTCTCCTGCCTCTCCTACAGCCTCCATCCACTCTGTTGCAGACTGTGAGAACTTTCTGTCTTTCTTTGTGGACAAAGTCAATAAGGTTAGATCTAGCATCTCTCCTTCAGCCTTATCGCTGCCTCTCCCGACTCCAACCAGGCCCATCATCCTACATAGCTTTGCTTCTGTTTCTTTGCCTGAGTTAACCAAACTAGTTAACTCTATGAAGACCTCTGCATGCTCCCTCGACATCTTACCCTCATCTTTGTTTAAAAGTGCTTTTCAGTCCATCGGTCCCAGCGTGCTCTCCATTATTAATGCTCCTCTGGTTTCAAAGTCAAAGTCAAAGTCATTTATTGTCATATTCTCCACATGTGCAGGACATACAGAGAAATGAAATTCAGTTTCAGCACACACAATTCAAAGATCAGACATACATGGGTAAGACACGTGGTCAGGTCCCTACTTACTTTAAGAACGCTGTAATCCACCTTCTTCTTAAAAAACCTAGTCTCGACCCCTCTCTCCATAGCAGCTTCAGACCCATCTCTAAACGTCCGTTCATTCCAAGATCTTGGAAAAGGTTGTGGCTAAACAACTCACAGCTGCTCTTGATGAACATAACATCTATGAAAGCTTCCAGTCAGGTTTTCGTAGAGCTCATTCTACTGAAACAGCTCTTCTTAGGGTCTCTAATGACCTTCTGACTCACAGTGATGCAGGGGACTGTTCTGTTCTGGTCCTGCTGGACCTGACTGCAGCCTTTGACACTGTTGACCATCACCTGCTACTGGAGAGGCTGAGAGACTGGGTAGGCCTATCAGGATCTGCTCTGGAGTGGTTCTCCTCTTATCTCTCTGAGCGCTCCTTTTCTGTGGCCGTCTCAAAGTTTAGGTCCTCCACAACCTCCCTTACCCATGGTGCCCCACAAGGTTATGTGCTGGGACCTCTGCTCTTCCTCCTCTATCTGCTCCCTCTTCAGCACATCCTGAGCTCTTTCAAAGCAATCTCCTACCATCTTTATGCAGATGACATCCAACTGTACATCTCCTTTAAGCCCCATGAGATGTCTAAGCTGCAGCTGTTACACACCTGCTTAGACTATCAAAACTTGGATGGCTGGGAGCTTTCTTCAGCTGAATGAAGATAAGACTGAGATCCTCATCTGTGCCCCAGACAAGCTGGTTCCCAAAGTCAGAGACTCTCTTGGTCAGCTTGCTTCTTACACCAAACCTTCCGTCAGGAATCTTGGCGTGACCTTTGACCCAGCTCTCACCTTAGATTCTCATGTCAGTTCTCTTATTCGCTCTTCCTTCTTCCATCTCAGGAACATTGCTAAGCTGAGTCCCATTCTGTCTCGCTCTGAACTTGAGACAGTTCTCCACACCTTCATCTCCTCACACTTAGACTACTGTAACTCTCTTTTCACGTGTCTGAGCAGAACCTCCCTGAACCGTCTACAGGTGGTTCAGAATGCCTGTGCTCGGCTTCTGACCAAGTCCTCCAAACACACCCACATCACCCCGCTTCTCCTCCAGCTTCATTGGCTGCCAGTCAATGCCAGGGTTCATTTCAAGATCCTGGATGGTCTATAGGGCCTTACATGGACAAGCACCATCTTACATTGGTGATCTTCTTAGTCCCTACACCCCCAGCAGGTCCCTGAGGTCCAGTGATCAAAGCCTACTGGTTGTGCAGCACCAGGCTAAAGACCAAAGGTGACAGATCATTTGCTGCTGTGGCCCCCAGACTCTGGAACTCTCTCCCCCTGAGCCTGAGATCAGTGGACTCAGTTGTCTCCTTTAAAAAGCCGATTCTCATCCCAGCTGCTTGGCTGGAGATTACTGTCTGTTGAACCCAACAGGACCACATCATCTGCAAAAAGCAGAGACCTGATCATTAGTCCACCAAAATAGATCCCTTCAACACCTTGGCTGTGCCTACAAACCCCTGTCCATAAAAGCTATGAACAGAATTGGCAATAAAGGGCAGCCTTGGTGGAGTCCAACTCTCACGGAAATGAGCTCGACTTACTGCTGGCAATGTGGACCAAGCTCTGACACCGGCCATACAAGGACCTAACAGCCCATATCAAAGGGGCTAGTACCCCATACTCCGTGAGTACCCCCACAGGGCCCCTTCATGGGACGCAGTCAAATGCGTTCTCCAAATCCACAAAACACATGTAGATTGGTTGGGCGAATTCCCACGCAAGCTCCAGGACCTCCCTAAGGGCATAGAGCTTTTGTTTTTTGTTTTGTTCAGTTTTGTTGTACATGTACTATGTACGTGTCCTTTAGTTGTACTTGTACTTTAGGTGTACATGTACTTTTAGTTGTACATGTACTTTTAGTTGTACATGTACTTTTAGGTGTACATGTACTTTAGGTGTACAAGTACTTTAGGTGTACATGTACTTTTATGTGTACATGTTCTTTTAGGTGCACATGTACTTTAGTTGTACATGTACTTTTAGGTGTACATGTACTTTAGGTGTACTTGTACTTAAGTTGTACATGTTCTTTTAGGGATACTTGTACTTTAGGTGTACATGCACTTTTAGTTGTACATGTACTTTTAGTTGTACATGTACTTTTAGGTGCACATGTACTTTAGTTGTACTTGTACTTTAGTTTTACATGTACTTTTAGGTTTACATACACTTTTAGTTGTACATGTACTTTTAGGTGCACATGTACTTTAGTTGTACATGTACTTTTAGGTGTACATGTACTTTAGGTGTACTTGTACTTTAGTTTTACATGTACTTTTAGGTGTACATACACTTTTAGTTGTACATGTACTTTTAGGTGCACATGTACTTTAGTTGTACATGTACTTTTAGGTGTACATGTACTTTAGGTGTACTTGTACTTTAGTTTTACATGTACTTTTAGGTGTACATACACTTTTAGTTGTACATGTACTTTTAGTTGTACATGTACTTTTAGGTGTACTTGTACTTTAGGTGTACATGGACTTTTAGTTGTTTAGGGATCTATCAGCCTGGGCTCGAACCCACAACCTACTGATTACAGGGTGAGTCGTCGCCCCCTTTTCACTATGTACAAAAAACAAAATAAATAGACTGCGACGGACTGGCAACCTGTCCAGACTGCTGGAGATAGGCACCAGCCCCCCGCAACCCTAGAATGAATGAGTGAAAAACAAATATTCGTGAATTATTTATAGATTCTTTAGTTTGTCTTTCTACAAGTTTTATGCTCTCAAAACTGGCTCAGAAGTCTACCATTTGCACTCAAACACCACCAACTTTGGTTGAAAATGAAGGAACTATGTTGCCATATCTTTGGTCCCGTGACAGCTGGCTTTGGTTTCCATGAAGTGTTCTACTGCATCAGTAAAGTGGGGGAATGGTGAAGGTTTGTGTTTTCTATGTGCAGGTACTGTGGGCGTTCAGTGCCTCCATCCATCACAAGCTCTGACAACCAGCTGACGCTGTTGTTTGTGACCGACTCCAGTTTAAACACTGAAGGATTTTCTGCCAGTTATGTCTCTATAAATGCCACCACAGGTATGCAACAGACTTACAGAAGTGTGTTTGTGTGCACGTATGCATGTGTCAGCATGTGGATGTGTGTGATTTTAATAAAACTAGATGGCCACCTCATTTTATCAACTTTAGCAAACAACTGACCACATTAGCCTTTAAAAAGTAGAACATTTTTCAGATAAGGACATACTCCTTAGAGGTATCCAGGCCTTGATTATAGCTATCCGATAATTGATTTAGACATAAATCACTCTGCTTAATGAGATTGTATGGTGTGCTCTTTTCTTGTCAGTAAATTGATACCACCAGCGCTTTTACCACACTATCAAAAATATGCAGCTTCCTCATTTATACTGTTTCTTGACAAGAAATGAATGATTAGTCTGGAAAAAACAAACATATACTTCATTTAAACTGTAAACAAAATGAATTAACTTGAAATGTCACTTAATGTAGTTTAGAGATGGGTGTACCCTCATGTTCAAGGCCCCTTAATCAAGGGCATCAGCTCCTGCTATGGTCTTCCATAGCCAACCAGTCCTATGTTGGGGGCACAAAGCATCTCAAAGACCTGGGTGAAGTAAGTCTGGTGGAAATGTTCAACGGGAAACAGTTTAGGCTTGTTTTTAGCACCCCCTCGTGTCCGTTTGTAGAACCGAAAGCAACACCTGTCTCCTCGCTGTGCGTTCGTCTTTTTAACACATTAATCTAACAGCTGAAATGTCTCCCCAGCCTTCCTTAGTGTCTACAGGAGTGATTCATCACTAAATTAATCAAATCAGCTGTGTTCTTACAGAGCAGCCTGCCAATCTGAAGTTGCAAGTGGAATATTGTGGCCACATGGGGCGATAGGGGCTAGGTGGCCTGCCAATAACCCTGTAAAGGGTCATTTTAGCACATACTGGCTCAAGGGAATGAGTTAAAATTATGAAAAAGTTGCCAAGTATCCCTTTAACTGCAACAAAATAGGGAATCCAAGCCACCCTTCCAGATGAAGACCTGAGGAAGAGCTTGTAGAGCACCTGGTAGCTGAGTCCTTCCTCCATGGAACTGGCTTGGCTAAACCCGACAAAGCCACAGGATGAGACCGCAACAAGATGATTAGAGCCACTGAAAAAAACAAACAATGTATCAAGATATCAGATAGCATCGAATCGTCGACTCAATAATCGTAATCGAATTGAATCGTGAGACTAGTGAAGATTCACACCTCTACACACCACACACTGTCGAACCAGAACCGGTACATCCTGGATTTTATCACCATCTGTGGGGTCTCTGATATTTAAATTTAAATCTGATCATTCCTAATTTTTCTTTGAGAACCATGCAGGCCTTAAATGGCTGAATGGTACTGACTAACCTATGAACTTTGCATCAGGGAGCAGCAACATGAAACCAGAGATGTTTGAAAGAGTCAGGACTCGATGTTTGCGTAAATCCTGCACAACCTGATTTTAAACTGCAAGATAATCTCAACAATAAACAATAATCTAACATTTTCTAAATCAAATGGAGCTTTATTAGTGCATCACTTTGACACGCAAGGCCACACACAATAAAGGACATTTAAAACAAACACATTTGTGAAGACTAAACCGACCTTTGTCCTCAGACTGCGGTGGGACCTTCACCTCCTCTACAGGCTCTTTCAGCTCACCCAACTATCCACACAACTACCCAAACAGCAGAGATTGCATCTTTAAGATCATCGTTGAGATCAACATGCAGATTATGCTGAACTTCACAAGTTTTGACTTGGAGGGCTCACCTCCATCATGCAGCTTTGACTTTGTGGAAATAAGGTGAGGAAAGAATTAAAGAGGGTTTTATCTTTTCTGATAAAAAAAAGGTCATAAAATAAGTATATATATATTTAAATTATCATAATTATTGTCTAATTAATGCATAACATTCCCGGTTTGGCTTTGTGGAGTATCGATACCCATCTCATCTGAGACATGGTGATTAAATGAAGCTGCTCTTCAGTCATTAATGATAATCTGCTTTATAGCTCAGGAGGATAAGGACACTTTTATTTACCTTTGATGTGTGCAGAGATGGCGGCTTTGAGACATCTCCTCTGATTGGTAAGTTCTGTGCCACTCAGAGGCCTCCAGTAATAGTGTCCAATAGCAACCGGATGTGGGTGAGGTTCCGCTCCGATGCTATAATCACACGCCCAGGTTTCAATGCCCACTGGGATGGAAGTCAGACAGGTATGGGCTTCATGTTTTTATGTTTACCTGCTTTGATCAGATTAGACTTAAGTAGACCAGGTGTTCATTCTGGATATGGGAAGAGGACAGTTGATATTTACTTTATTTACATTGGGAAGCAGAATGCATGTGGTATATTTTGTGTTTGTACCTTCTAGGCTGTGGAGGGACACTGACTTCTTCATCTGGAGGGTTTTCCTCACCAAACTACCCTCTGCCTTACCACCCTAACGCGGAATGCTACTGGACCATTAAGACCAGTCAAGGCAGCCAGCTCCTCCTCTCTTTTTCTGATTTTCACCTGGAGTCCAGCTCGTCCTGCTCATTTGATTATCTAGCGGTGAGTAATGAACATGTGGGTTCATGTACACAGCACAGGTTGTTGCCGAGCGTTTTGCTTCAGCGTTGTTCTTGGCTGGTAATCTGGCTGCTCCCTCACGTTGTCCTTCATAACAGGAAGTCTTGACTCTTGCAGAGACCTCTCACTGTTTCTATAACACTAATGATTTACAGCTGCTGCCCCCTCCAGCAGAAGTGACTGCAATATGTTTGTGTGTCAGTGTTTCCTAAATCACATTTGTATGTGAATGGTATACACTGTTGTCATGCAGCTAATGTGAATTCATCATGTCGGTGTGACCGGTTTGCAGGTATATGATGGAAACAGCAGCAGTGCACCAGAACTGGCCAAACTGTGTGGAGCAGAACTCCCAAGCACCATCAACTCCTCCAGAAATCAGCTGTTCGTTAAACTTCGCACAGACAGCAGTGTCAATGCTGGAGGTTTCCTCGCGTCGTACAGCTCCAGTAGGAAAACACAACTATTCTTAGACAAGCCGACATGCTTTTTACACCTAACTGTAAAGATCTGAACCAGGTTTTTTTTCCCCAAACTGCTTTGAGAAGTGTCTTATAGTCCAGTTACTCGTGGAGTTTAAACACTCAGAGGAGATTAGCAGAAGGAATAATCCAGGTGAAGTTTAACAGTTATACATAAGAATCAGCTATAATTAACAAATTCAAATGCTTTTTTAATTTTCCCAAAACACATGATTTATAATCTTGTCTGTGTCAGACCTAACTCTGAAGTAGCTGCTTAGTGCTTTTCTTTATTCTGTCTAGTGCCGACACACCAACTACAGTCGACGTAGCAGTAACCACAACAGTTTTAAACCATCTCATTTGTTTGTTACTTCTTTATTAATGAGCACTAGAATGGTTTCAGTTGATGTATACATATTATTAGTTTATTTGGGGTGTGTGATGGTCTTGTTTGGTTTCAGAATGTGACAACGTACTGATCTCAGGCCAGCGCACAGGAGTGGTTGAGTCACCCAATTTTCCAAATAACTACCCAGTCAACTCCATGTGTAGCTGGACCATCCAGGTCAGCAGTGGAAATGTCATCAACTACACCTTCGCTGCCTTCCAGTTAGAGGGCATCTCCAGCTCCTGTAGTTTTGACTACATCCAGGTACAGGAAACCTGAAAGCACGGCACATGAAAGGAAAATATGCTGAAACTTTAAAATATATTTATCAAAGGTGGAAATTTAACAAGTTAATTCTGATAAAGTAGAAAAAATACATGTTGAAATGTACCCCTTTTAGCACGAGCATAGACTGTAAAAGTTTAGCATCACAATTTATGCCCAATATAGTAATACATATTAAGCTGCACTTTTAACAGGACTGCACAGCCTGGGCTTCAAGACCATATAAACCTTCTTTACAAACTCCAAACATAGCTAAAACTACAATAAAATGAATCATGACAAATCATTCTTCATGAAGAAAACACAGGAAAAAAATTCAATTCAATTCAATTTTATTTATATAGCGCCAAATAACGACAAGAGTCGTCTCAAGGCACTTCACATAATAAACATTCCAATTCAGGTCAGTTCATTAAGCCAATCAGAAATAATGTTTCCTATATAAGGAACCCAGCAAATTGCATCGAGTTACTGACTAGTGTCAGTGACTTTACAGCAATCCTCATACTAAGCAAGCATAAAGTGACAGTGGAGAGGAAAACTCCCTTTTAACAGGAAGAAACCTCCAGAGAATCCTGGCTCAGTATAAGCAGCCATCCTCCACGACTCACTGGGGATGGAGAAGACAGAGCACACACACACACACACGCACGCACGCACGCACGCACGCACGCACACACACACACACACACACACACACACACACGCAATGAATGAATAGGGTCCTTTTTTGTATAATGTAATATAATATAATATAATATAATATAATATAATATAATATAATATACCTAAAAAAACTCATTTTCCTTTTACTCACCATTTTCTCCTAATAATTTCTTCCTAGCTCTATAATGGGCCAAACCAGCAAGCTCCTTTGATTGGAAAGTTCTGTGGGAATTCACCTCCACCAGCCAACAGCACTTCTGGCTCCGCCCTCACCTTGGTTTTCAGAACCGACTCCAGCATCTCCATGTCCGGGTTTCAGATGATGTGGTTCCAAAGCGGTAAGTGAATGAAAGAAAACTGAAATTTCTGGACAAACTCAAATCCTAATCATTGTTCCTTGTCCTTGTTCTGTTCCTTCTTGCATGCTTTTCTTTCCAGGTTCGAGTACTCTTTCCATTTTTCCACTCATGATTTAACTGACAAGCTCCTGCTAATCCCACAGCCCACAGTAATAGTGGCCAGTAAATCAATACGTCTAATTCTGGCCCCTGATTGATTCCTAACCTCATCAGGTGTACTGTGTGGTGTTTTCCTACACTTGAGCTGAGATTAGAATAATTGAAAACCTAGTTGGGCTTTTCACTTCAAGCCTTGGCCTCCATGAGAAGCCTGGGAACTTGAAGGTCCTTGAAGTGTCTCCTAGACAAAAAAACATTCAGCAATTTGTCAAACACCAAGATGTATGTTTGGTTAGCCATCACCTGTTTGTCAGTCTGAATCTTGAAGTCCCACAGGATCATACCTCGGTGATTCTCCACCAGCATTGATGGAGTCTCCAACTGTGACCTCAACCCCAGTTCAGCACTTGTGTTCCTTGTAGGGTCATATCCCTCTATGGTGGTCCTGGAGGGTGTATGGGAGTTTGTCAAACCAATCTACATGTGTTTTGTGGATTTTGAAAAGGTGTTGAACCACATCCCTCCGGGTGCCCTGTGGGGGGTGCTCTGGAGTATGGGGTACCAGGCCTTCTGATATGGGCTGTTAGGTTCCTGTATGACTGGTGTCAGAGCTTGGTCCACATTGGCAGCAGTAAGTCGAGCTCATTTCTGGTGAGAGTTGGACTCCACCAAGACTGACCTATGGTACATATTCTGTTCATAACTTTTATGGACAGGATTTCTAGGTGTAGCCAAATTGTTGAGGGGATCCGTTTTAGTGGCCTATGGATTGGGTTTCTGCTTTTTGCAGATGATGTGGTCCTGTTGGCCTCTTCAGAATGTGATTTCCAGCTTTCACTGGAGCAGTTCGCAGCGGAGTGGGAAGCGGCTGGGAGGGAATGAGCTCCTCCAAATCTAATAGATCCGTAGATCTGCTGCTTCTCCACGTTAAGAAGAGCCAGTTGAAGTGGCTTGGACATCTAGTTAGGATGCCTCCCTGGTGAGGTTTTCCAGGTACATCCAACTGGGAGGAGACCCAAGAAAAGACCCATGACACACTGGAGGGACTACATTTCTTGTCTGGCCAGGAAGCACCCTGAATTGCCCTGGAGGAACTGGCCATAGTGGCTGGGGATAGGGAAGTCTCTCTTCTTAGGCTACTGCCCCCCGCAACCTGGCCCAGTAAAAGTGGTAATGTTAGTTAATGTGGGGCTTCTAGGTTAAATGGACCATCAAAGTTAACTAATATGAACTCACCTTACCTTCAAATGTTCTTTAAAAAAATTTAATTTCAGAACATGAACAAAGTGCAAATAATACCTCTAAAATGTTGCATGTATTAAACATTTTTGTTTCTGCAGGTTGTGGTGGGGACCTTTCTGGCCCCAGAGGCTCCTTCAGCAGCCCTGGCTATCCAAACAGGTACCCTGACAACACGGAGTGTGTCTGGCACATCACCTCAGCCGCTGGCAGCAGCATCACCCTCACTATCCACGAGTTTGATGTGGAATTCCACCAAGACTGCAACTACGATGTCCTGGAAGTAAGTTTTGGACTCATCAAGTATGAGATGAATATTAGGTTGACATTCTCCAAGCTATGCAGGGTTCCTTTCTGCTGTAGAACTGGGGTCCAAATCTGTTTATAGACTACGTATACAGAATTGGGTGTAGCTATGGAGATGCAAGGGGTCAAATTTGATATCAGGAGGATGTTTGTTGGGTATCTGCTGTGTACTGATGTTGTTGTCCTACAACCTGGACAAGCAGACTATAGCAGTAACATGTCAACTATAGTTAATATCCTGTGTGTTTACTGATGTCGGTGTGTTGCTTTGTGTAGTGGTGCATGTGTTTCCATTAGTCTTTATTCAGGGCATGTGACCGTCTGATCCTCAACTTTGACTGCTTTGCAGGTTTTTGGAGGCCCAGACCTGTCCGCTCCTAAGCTGGCTAAACTGTGCAGCACCACATTAAACCCAATGCAAGTCTCCAGCACCGGGAACCTTCTCACCGTGCAATTTAGTTCTGATGCCTTTGTCAGTGGTCGAGGGTTCAATGCAAGCTGGGTACAAGTTCAGGGAGGTGAGTTATCATTAGGAGGTGTAATCCTATAGAACGTACATATGTACAAACAAAACAACTACACAGCAAGCACAAAAACACATCAAGAGTAAATGATTTAGCTCTCACTTTGTTTTATAAAGCAGAAAAATATATCCCTTTCTGAAACAGGAGCAGTTTGAATTTCTGAAAGAGAAAAATCTTTGTAACTAATGTACTTGAGTATCCCCGAGTATCCTCCCCATCAGTATAGGTTCATACGTGGTCATAGTAATCCTAGTCAGGTCCACTGAACGCAAATGACCTCTTTAGTTTCTTGAAGATATTTTACTTCTTATGTGAGGAGCTTCGTTAATCCCACCTGGAATGTCCAAATGTACCTTTTATTGAATCAATGTGAACTATAATGTATTATTTGTTCTGGCAGGCTGTGGAGGCCCAGTTACAGCTCCATCAGGGGAGATTCATTCTCCCTCCTATCCCAACACTTATCCTAACAACGCTGACTGTTCCTGGGTTATCAGTGTGGATCTTGGTCATCGTGTTCTCTTCAACTTCACTGATCTGGACATTGAAAATCACAGCAACTGCCTCTGGGATTATGTGGCTGTGAGAAAATATTGATTTGTCTTTGGAAAAATACTATTAATGTGCCTTTTGGGGGTCTGATATTACAGAATTTAGAAATTCCTTTAATGGGTGAAAGTGAGAAGACGTTATTCAGTAAAATGAGAAGTCTTGTGGTGCAATGTTCAGTTATGGGGGAGGGGGGGGGGGGGCACTGACTTCTCCAACTGTTTAGAGAGGATCTACAGGTTAGGTGATGTTTCAGTCACTATTGTAGTTTTAATGCTGAACACAAACATTACTAGTCATTGTTTAGACCACAGGTGTCAAACTCCGGTCCTTGAGGACCACAAGGTTCTATCCCACGTTTTAGTGTTTTCCCTGTTTCAACACACCTGATTTCAATCAGCAGGTGATTAACAGGCTTCTGGAGTGCCTGATGAGCTGCTGAACAGCTGAAGCAACTGTGTTGGAACAGGGAAGCAACAAAAAGATGCAGGATACCAGACCTCAAGGACTGGAGTTTGACACCCTTGGTTTAGACAATGCTGTCACACATTTACCACAGCACAGACTGGCTGACCAACTGTCAAAGGTTCACCCACCTAAAGGTGTGTGCTGCTCCAAAACGTACAAGCTGTATAAAAACAGGCAGTAAAAACAGATATTTATAAGATATTGTCATTGTTGCACATACAACAAAATAATGATTGCACCTAATTTCGTTGTACGCGTTACAATGACAATAAAGGATATTCTGATTTTGATTCTGGTCAGAAAAAAATGCACAGTGTAGAAAAGTAAGTTGTTGGTATTCACAGTTAAACCGTTAAACATGTTTCTATAGATCCATGATGGTCCCAGCATATCATCTTCTCTGCTGGCCCAAGTATGTGGCACCAGCATTCCTCCCCCCATCACCTCCACCACGAACACCATCTATGTTCGCTTTAGGTCAGACTCCAGCCTCAACCATCGGGGCTTCAGTGCCAGATTCTCTGAAGGTGAGCTTCTTAATGTTTTCCAGACAACACTTACCTGGCTGATTGACATCCAGTTGTGTCTTATCTCACCAAACTGGTGTCCTCTATGCTGATGTGTTGAGTTACACAAGGCACTGTGATAGTTTACAGGGATGAAAAAATGGATCTGAGTTCTGTACAATGTCAAAACTTTGACTTTAAGGAAAGATTGATGAGGGAACATTTCCTTGGGTTTAATTTGGAAAATCAACAGGCTATGGCCAACTTGTAATTCCACCGAGGATGAGCAGAGCAAGGGGGGGGGGGGGACACGAGGGTTTAGAATATGTCAAAGTGGCCCGATCTTTAGATGGTTTAGGGAAATTATTGCAAAACATACAAACAGTTCAAAATTAGATTTTGCCTAATGATAATGTTTTTCCTTTTACATTGGAAAATAGTTTGATTGCACTGTTTATTAACTCACAACGTAGTTCGTAAAAAGTGAATAATTTACTTAAAGTAAAATTAGTGGCATGCTATTAATGCCATCCATTATTATTGCCAAATTAAACTTTATTTTAGGGGCTAAAGTTGGATTTTTTAAAAACATCTTTCATTCATTCATAAAGCACCTTAATGCCACCAGCCAAGGCTGCCAAAAGTGCAGTACATGATAAAATCATAGCTCACATACATTAAATTAGAGACAACAATAAGACCATACTAAAAATGGATGCCTTAAGACGGGGTGTCAAACTCATGTTAGCTCAGGGGCCACATTGAGGGAAATCTAGTCCCAAGTGGGCCGGACCGGTAAATTAAAAACAACTTCAGATTGTTTTCTTTGTTTTAAAACAATCAATATAAAACAAGGCTGGAGCCTGAGGACAATGTAGTACAAGTACAACACCTGAAGTGTACTTGAAAATTTGGAAAAAAATAAAAAATCAATAAATAAAAAACACCATTCCTTAGTGATTCAAAGAGCTTACAGGTCACATGGCTAGATCAGTTTCATGCAGCACTTAAAGTATATTTGACTCATTTTACTTTACATCTTTCAGCTTTCACCAGCACATTAATAACAAAGTCCCATCCTGAGTGGCGGCCAACTTCAGGATGTGATTCAAGTTCTTGTGTGAGCCTTGAGCGCAGCTTTGTTTTATTTTTACTCATTACAGAGAAAACTTGCTCACAAACATAAGTTTATTTTCATTCTACATTGTAAAGTATGAAAATAAAGTTTACACAACCATCTCGCGGGCCGGATTTAACCCGCTTGCGGGCCGGATTCGGCCCGCGGGCCGGATATTTGACACCCCTGTCTTAAGACATAGAAAGCACTAAAAACTAATGAAATCTAAATGCACATAATGCCTACAAACAATTAAAATAAATAAAAGCATTCCAAGAATGTTACCAGAAAAATAACAATAAATCTAAAATGTACAAAAAAGTATAAAATAACTAGATTTGTATTATTGCTTCGATTTAGCTTTAGAACTCCAGACAGTAGATGACTGTTTCATATCCAGTGGGAGTTTGTTCCACAGTCTTGGGGCCAGTGTTGCAAAGGCTCACCCCCCCGAGAACTGCAGTTAAACCTAGGCTCGACCAATAAATCCTCTGCAGAGCAGAGAGGTAGAGTAGGAACATGCCTTATTAAAAGCTCTGCAAGATAAGGTGGCGTTGCTCCGGCAAGCGCCTGATACCATGAATGTTGTTAAAACACTTCCAGGTATCACAAATCTTATCTTTATGTCACGTTGTCCAGCCCCGCCTTAGCAGGGGTAAAATAAGCAACCTGTCCAACAGTTCTTGTCCTGAAAGCTTTTTATTTAGCTGAAGACGTGTTTGTATCCTGATAGACAAGCACTGTGTGTGTTTTGGAGCCAGTTGGTGGGACCTTACTAACCATGCAGTTTGTTTTGGACAGCCTGTGGCACAACTATCTTAACAGATGACATTGGAGGGGCCTTTGCATCGCCACGATACCCATCACCCTACCCGCCCAATCAGGCCTGCAGCTGGATCATCAGAGCACAGGAACCATGTGATCACAGCTCTCCTCTTCACTGTTGAAAACACATTATGCAGAAAGGAATCACAGCTAACCGCTGACTTGTGTCTTTTTTTCTAGTCAACCATGTGACACTGTCATTCACTGACTTCGAGTTGGAGATGATAAACGTCAACTGCTCACACGATTCTGTGGAGATCCTTGATGGCGACAACTCCCAAGCACCATCTATAGGTGGACAGCCTGGATGTTTCTGTGTTTTCTTGTATTGTCATTGCTTTATTTCAGGCACTTTTCATGAGCATGTTCCTGCCACCCAGCATTAACTCCTGCTTTAAAGGTTATATGTAAAGATTATTTAATGACATCCAGTTTTCTTTCTGTCATCAGGAAAATTCTGTGGCTCTGAAATTCCCCATCCAGTGACCTCATTCAGCAACGCTCTGGTGGTAAACTTCATCTCGGACTCTTCCGTCTCTGGAAAAGGGTTTCGAACGACATACTCAGCTTCCACGTCCAGTATGTTTTAACACACCGCTCACACCTCTAACCGTCACAGAAAACTCCAGTTTGACCTAAGAAAGTTTTTCTCTGCGTATCTCAGGTTGTGGCGGAGATCTGGTGATGCAGAGCGGAGCTTTTAACAGCCCTAACTATCCAGATGCATATCCACCTAACATGGAATGTGTGTGGACCATCAGGAGCTCACCAGGAAACCGTCTGCAACTCTCCTTCATGTTAGCTTACTTAAATATTGGGCTTTATTTTCACTTAACATCTGAGCCAAAAGTCCTCAGTTTGATTTAATCTCAGTGAACAAACGCGGTCTTTGATCCGGGACTGAACGTTTTAAAATGAAGAGTTTCACAGTTGTTTAAAGCATATCTGGCTAATATTTCTTATAGCTATGTTAATAGAGCACCAGTTCTAACAATGTTCTATTTCTTTTAGCACGTTTCACCTGCAGGGAGACTCGAGCTGTCAAAACGACTACCTGTTGATCAAAGAAGGCAACTCCACCGGACCTGTGGTTGGTCGTTTCTGTGGAAACACTCTCCCATCTAACTACACATCTGTGATTGGGCACATCCTATGGGTTCAGTTTGTCTCAGACCAGTCAGTTAGTGGAGCAGGATTCAGAGCCATCTTCTCACATTGTAAGTGTGTTAAAGTGAAAGACCCATTTGATTTACGGGCAGGAGGGAACATAGGGGGCTTTGGGCAAGGCAGCTTTATTTATATAGCACATTTCATACAAAGAGGCTATCCAATGTGCTTTCCAGGGGCAAGAGCTACAAGAACATAAAACAGCACATTATAAAATCAAAGTTAGAAATACACAAATAAAATCAAATGGAAAAAATAAATTCAAAAGGCTAAGTTAATGGGTGAGCAGTTACGCTGCAGAAGGTGCAGCATAAGAAACATTCATTCAAAGGCTGGTTGGTTCAGTTTTGATAAAACATTTTGTTGGGGCACATTTGAGGTCAGTGAGGAAGCCGATTCCATTTGTGTGCAGCATAGTGACTAAAAACAGCTTCACTCTGTTTGGTTCTGACCCGAGGTAGTACCAGCTGACTGTTTCCTCTGAGCCCTGCTGGCGTATAAACAGGAAGGAGATCCGACATGTATTCTGACCCCATGACGTTTCAGTGAGTTATAAAATAGTAGAAGCGCTTTCAAATGGATTCTGTAGTTTACTGGTAACCAGTGTAGGGATCTAAGAACAGGAGTGATGTGTTCGGTTCTCCTGGTTCTTGTTAAGACTCTAGCAGCGGCATTCTGAATAAGCTGCAGTTACTTCACAGCTTTTTTGGGAAGACCAGGTCCAAAAACCATTGCAATCAGAGCCGGACTAAATAAATGGACTACACTAGGCAGGCTGCATTTTTGGGGCCCCCCTCCATCGATGTTATTTAATGAATTGAAATCTGAAACTTACCAAACTTACTAATAAAAGTTCATTCACATTTTACATAGCCTGGTCTTTGGCTACAAATTGGTTGTTTGTGTGCCAAAATAAGTCATGTGTTGTATGTTAAACATTCTATCAGACTATTTTTTGATATTAATAATTTATATGTCATTACACAGCTGTATTAAATGCTAATAAATGATCCTCATCTTATCCATTGGGAGTGCCATTGTCAAGGCGGTACCAGTAAATAACCACTAGGTGTCAATAAACTATGTAAACAGAGCAAATATGTGTCTCTTATTTTCTCTGTTTACATTTAATCACTACATTTAATTAAAAAGATTTTCTGCTAAATACAATAGCTTACAACATTTATAAATGTTGACAAATTAATCACATGATAGTGGAAAGACATTCAAGAATAAATAGATTAATTTGAATGGACTGAAGCATGTTTAAAGGCGCAAAAACAAACTATAAACACGTAGCCTAAATTATTACGGTATAAATTTAATACAGTCTATAATCTTAAAAAAAGTATTTCAATACAATGAAAACATTATCTTAAGTTTTGATCTTGCTTTATGTTCATTCAGGCTGTTGTTGCCTCTGCTGAATCAGAAATTCTGTGTGAATTTTCTGAGTGTGAACTTTTTGTTTGTTTTGCTATTTGAACATTAATAAAAATATTTGAAAAATAATTAATAAAACCAGCAACACTTACCAAGGAAACCATTTAGCATTCTCCACTCTGGGATAATCTTCAGCCTTCCAGCATCACAGGCCTCAGTCACAGCAGAAACACGTCTAAAGAAATGTTCCTTGGTTAAGCTTTGGTATATGTCTCCAGATTTCCTCTGTGATGCCGAAGAATATCCAATATTTTGAGAGGGATGGTTTAGTGCAAAGTACTCATGCATCCTGTCATCAGTTTGGTACCACTTTGCAGGATCAGATGGGTAGCTAGTTGTTAATACCCTTTCTGGGTCTAGAGGCTCCTGTAAGACTATATTGGGCTCACCTCTGGCTGGCTGCTGTTCTTCCAGTTTGTCCTTCTGAGAAGGCATTGATGTTGACGGCGTTGGCGCTACAGCGTCTTCCGACGCATTTCCCGTCGCATCTTCCAATTTGCAACAGTCCAGCCTGCTGTAACGCACGAATGAGTTTCCCTAGGTCTTGTCATGGACATGAGACCTCTGACTCTTGCTATTTAATGCAGATGATAAAGCACTGATGTAGTTATAGCCTTAATGTGACCAGTGAAGCTCAGGTCTGAATCAGTTATGACACCAAGATGTCTTTGTCTTTATTCCTCTGGAGCCAAGCTGAGCAACAATAACACGTATTTTAGCCTGTTTTTGGAACCATTGAGTCATGTTGTTTTGGCAGTTTTAGTGTCTTTAACAAAGTGTGACTTAAGTATCAAAGTAAATGCATCACAATGGGAATTCCACATCAGGGCTGATGTTAAGGGACAATGTTGAAAAAGGAAGTAATTGTAACCCAGCATATTACCCGGCACTAGTAGAAAGTAAGATAAAAGTGAAGATGAAAGAAGAAACAACCCTTTATTTGTGTGGCTTATCTTTAGTGTATGGTGTTGACGTGACGGGAGAGTCTGGTCAGATTGCATCCCCGCTCTATCCGAGGTTTTACCCCAACAATGCTGACTACCGCTGGACTATAACTGTTGAAGGAGGAAGCTATGTTCAGATCAGCTTCCTGGACATGGACATAGAGGACCTGTATGACTGCTACTATGACCAGCTTAAGGTGAGATTTTATATAATCTAGCTATTCTCTCTCTCTCTCTCTGTGTCTATGCACAGGTGCATCTCAAAAGTTAGAAAATCATGTTCAGTATCTTTTAAACTTGTATAGATTTATCATACACAGACTGAAATATTTCAGGTTTCCGTTTCTTGTCATTTTAATGATTATTGCTTACAGATAACAAAACCCCAAAACTTCACTGTCTCTGATAAATACAATTTAAATATTACATTAGATCAATACCAAATGACACCATAAATGATCACTGATGTAAAAATGTAACTTTTATTCCATCCTAATTTTTTAAGATGTGCGTGTTTATGCTATATGATCTCTGTACCCCTCTCTTCTACATAGGGTAGGGTTAACCCACTTCTGGGTCAGGTCCTATACTAGAGACCTGAAAACTCGAGGGATCTTCTCTGTACCCGAGCTTTTCCTAGGTCTGAGCTTTTCTGGACAAACATCTTTGGGAATGTTAGAGCCACTCTCCCAGTTTGGGAGTCACAGACCCAAGTGTGCTGATGCCTGCTAGTAATACTGAGAGAATGACTTTCCGTACCTCCGCTAATTCCTATTTCCACTCTTGGTATTTTAAATCTTTTGTTTTTTTCTTCCTGAAGTTCCTGTCGCTTTAGATCTCTAAATGTATCACCACTACCTTAGTCATCCACCACAGTGTCTGGCTGGCTAGCCATCACCCGTTTGTCAGTTCTGGTCAACAACAGGGGAGGTGCCATCTTGGAATGCCATAGAAAGTAATCTGAATATTGAAACAAGCTACTGCACCATCAAAACTGTGCTCCGCTGGGCTTTTGTTGTGAAAATACCTGCCGTTACTTTTTAAATGACTCAGACATTTGATGACTGAATGTCCTGAACGAGGATTACCGACAGATGGTGTTTCAGCAAAGGCCAGGTAGGAGCAGAGGAATCTACACGTGTCCTTGCTTCTCTTCAGATTTTTGATGGCCCAGATGTTCATCACTACAGTCTTGGAACCTTCTGTGGTCTGAACCTGCCGGGTCCACTTAGAAGTTCAGGAAGCACCGTCACCTTACAGTTCCGTTCGGACTCAGTGGTGGCAGGACGTGGCTTCCTTGTGGAATGGATGACTGTTCCCAACTCTGGACCACCGCCTACTATCACACCAGGTCAGATAGATAGAAATGCAAATCTGTTTATTTCTGTGCAACTAAGTACAACATGCTGTGCTGGAACATGGACTGCATCCTCACAAGATAATCATTATGGTCACATGGTTAGCATCTAAAAAACCCTCAGCCAGCTAAGCCAGGTGAAACCAGCTATGATACTGAGCTTTTTGTCTCAGGAGCATGTGGTGGACAGCTGATGACAGGAGACGCTCCTGGTTTCCTGTTTTCCCCTGGATGGCCTGAGAACTACCCCCCTAACCAGGAGTGCACCTGGCTAATAAGGTCTCCAAACTCTATAGTAGAGTTTAACTTCCTGTCTGTTGACTTGGAGGGCTCCCCACCCTGCTACTATGACAGCATCACCGTCAGAGATGGTGAGTCTGGATGCAGCATACAACAATAAATTGGTCACACCCATGAACAGATAAAGTAATAAAAAAATCATTAAACATGAGAAAAGAGTTACAAGTTATTTGTGTTACTGAAGCTCAGGTCGGCTTCTGTATTTGACAACAAATATAAATACTCTACAGTTTTTCATGAGTCAGGATCACAATTTCAAGTTTTCTCTGATATTTTAGTTAGTTTATTTTGTCTTTGCCTCTTTGTGAATGCATGTTTTTAGGTGCATCCAGTCTGTCACCTGTCCTGGCCAGTGTGTGTGGTCGGGAAGCTCCAAGTCCAGTCCATTCAACAGGAGATTCCATGTTCATCCACTTCTCCTCAGATGGCAGTGTCGGCGGCCAAGGCTTTAACGCCTCCTACTCCAAAGGTTGTGCACACACATAAATACGTTCTGTTATTTATTTTTGTTGTTATTAATACAATTTTAACTCGAGAAAAGCTTGCACACAATCCAGGTCATTATGTTAAGAGTGAGAAGATACTGAAGATCCTGCCATTGTTGACATTTTTTCAGAATGTCCTCAGTTCTGGCAGAGGCATCTGCAACTATCTCCGGCTTTAGCATCTGATAGAAAATAGATGGTGAAATGCTTAGATTTGAAAATTCTCACATTGTGATGTCACACTGTGAATTAGCATTGATGACCTTACCCATTTTGGCTCGCGCCCGGCCACAGGAAGGCTTTTTGAAAAAATCTTTGCAGCGAGGAGCGAAAGCAGAGAGTTAGTTGGTGATAGTTACTTAGCAACATGGCTGAACACATTCTGTCAGCCAATCAGACACAAGGTGTGTGCATATCATTAATAATAATGAGTAATCCAGCATATGAAACAGTCACTCAAAGGCTCATGAATGAAGTTTTCAATTTTGATTTAAAAGTTACTAGAGTTGGGGCACATTTGAGGTCATAAAGAAGCTGATTCCATCTGAGAGCAGCACAGTAACTAAAAACAGCTTCGCCCTGTTTGGTTCTGACTTGAGGTTCTACCAGCTGACTGGAGATAGTCTACGTATCTCAGAGCCCTACTGCATGTATATACAGGAAAAAATCAACCCAGAAACAGCGTGGTCTGTCCACCATGAATGAACTTGCACACTTCTCTCTCATTCCAAGTTATAGATGTAACTTTTTTCACTGGGGGAAATGTGACTCATCCTAAAAGTTAGACACCTTTCATGGATTTCTGTCATCTTCATTCGCCCCAGATTTGAAACTGAACTGTTTCTGCTTGTCTACAAGATACACACTTTGAAAAATCCAGTTAGTTTCTTTGTTTTGTTTTTTCAGGTTGTGGTGGCCTCTTGCATGTGGACAGAGGTGTGCTGAGCAGTCCTCGCTACCCAGAGAACTACATGCCTGGTCTGAACTGCAACTGGCATGTAATGGTTACCCCAGGCTTTAGGGTCTCTGTGACCTTCCACAGCGTCTTCCAGATTCAGGGCTACGGATCTGGATGCAGCTCAGGAGACTACCTGGAAGTAAGCAGATCTAGAGAATACAACCTGACTGGGCTTTGTTTAAGATTAGATTAGGGTTGTGGTGTGTGTCTAGGGTACCTGGGTGTTAAGTCAGGCAACACAGATGTTTCTCACAAAGGTAAACTCAGCTAGGGCTAGGTTGACAATAATATTGTACAAAATCAAAGTGTCTTCAGAAAGGTTTACCAACCTATCCTTCTCACAAACAGGGATACCCCGTGACTATAATGGGGACTCCCCCTAAAGCTACACAGCATCACTATTAAACACTCATCTGAGGAGTTTAAAGTCTGCTGAGCAGACAACAGGCCAGTGAAGAGGCAGCTCAGGTCTGTTGTTCCTTGAAGATCTGTCCTTTATACAGTCAAAGTCCTCTTCTCCCAGCTGCCCGTTGTGATTGTGTTCAGCTGGGCGCTTCCGGGTGGAGACAGGTAGTGCAGAAGGAGGTGGGACTCTCACGTCCAGACTGCCTTGAAGTGTGCTGAAAGGACAGCTCCTCTGCAAAAGCAGATTGTCCTCAGTGAAAAGTGAAGGAAGGCAAAGAGATTTAAGCATTTTTAAGTGACTTTACATTTTTTAAACTATGTACCAACTCTTTAACAATCAACTCTTGATGTGTGAAAAAGGTCGGGTAGTTGGTCGTAAGGGCAGCTCTTTCCTGCGCCTCGGTCTCTCACTGCATTCTGACGTACCAGCACACCCTGCTCAGTGTTGAAAGATCAGTCACTTTTATTTGCTGTTCATGTGTTTTTCCCACAGCTCAGAAATGGTCCAGATGCTTCGTCTCCACTGCTGAGGGATCGTGCATGTGGTTCAAGTCCTCCAGGCCCCCTTCAGACCACTGATAACAACCTCTTTGTCAACTTTGTTTCTGATGCCAGTAATGAAGGCAGTGGCTTTAAGCTGACATTCGAAGCCCACAGTCAGGGTACACTTTATGTTTATTTCCTTTTTATTTTATCATAATGAAACTACTGACAATGATTTGTTGTTTACAATAACTTTTCTCTCATTTTAAAATCTCTAAATATCCAAAGTATTATATGTACACATATTGCTTTTGTTTACACCGCAGCAGGATTGATTTTTTGTAGATTTTGGTAATAATTTTTGGTTTGTGATTGATGCCTTAGACTTGTCGATTTGTTACTGTCTCTGCTTTCTTGTACTTGATTATCTTTGTAGTCGGTCGACCCCCTCGAAAATGAGATGACTCATCTCAAGTAGTTTTATCCTCCTGAAATTTGAGTAAATACATTAATAAACTGATTTAATGATCAGCTTAAAGTGAGATTGTTGCAGATTGTTAATGCAACAAGCCCCCAGGCTGTAATTCTTTCACCAAATCCATGGTTCCGTCATTGGGTGGCTCTGTATTTTAGATTGGGGGTAGTTTAGGGTATATCTGTTTGGGCTGGGTTTCTGTTGAGTTAGGTTAGCTTAAGTTAGGCTTCTGTTTCATTTATGCAAGTTTGGCTAGGCTAGGATCTTGCCTAGTTAGGTAAAGGTGACTACATGTCAGGATTTAGGGTAAGGGTCTTGCTGAAACCTTGACATTTATTGATAGAGGAAATTTAGTCTTTAGTTGACATTGAAAATGTTTATACCATAGCCTTTTCATAAAATTATTGTCTGGCCTTGCTTGAACATTTATGTGTTTTTTTATTTTAGTGACACGGTCTCAGTTGTAGCACTTTGCCACCTCTAAATTTTTCACAGCTCTCATTTTGATTCACATGGATGGGAAAGCTGCGGTGGACTAAACGGGGCTGGAATCCATTTGAAAGAAATTTCAATAGTTAGCAGTTTTCAGAACAGCCAGCATGCACAGCGGGAGGGGAATGAAACCCTCTAAAGTTTACCTGGGATTTCCTGTTTAATAGACTAAGTGGTCTACTGACAGTAATGACTGACAGTTTGAGTTTTTACATCTGGTCACAAAGAACAACTGTATTATACCAACTCATGTTTATTTATTTTGTACACAGCATGTGGAGGCTTCATTGAGCTGAGTGATTTTGACCCCCCTGGATACATCACTTCCCCTAACTACCCCCAGAACTACCCCCAGAACATCGACTGTATTTGGGTGATCACTGTGCCCAATGGGGAAGCGGTCCAAATCGACTTTGAGGATGATTTCTACATCGAACCCACAACCAAGTATACCGTTTACTTTCTTTTCACATTTTAGTTTAGTTCTTTACATCGACTGCAATCAGTGACAGGTTGTTAAAGGTTCCAGCTCTTGCTATTTTAAACCTTTGAGAACAAAGGTAGGCACAGTATGTGATAAATATAACCACTGGCACTACTAAGATGTCATTTATCTTAAATACAAGTTATTTTCATCAGCCTGAATTCATAACTGGAAATGAAATAGTTCATTTCAATGAAGCTCCGCCCACACCTGCTCTGACAAAATGTACCTAGAACAGTGTCTCAGGTCAGCCTTGGTAGTCTAGTGGTTAAACTGTCTGTCCTTCATCTCTTTTTGCTATGTCCCGACGCCAGTTCAACCCCCGGTGGTATTGGCTGTAATTTATTTAGCCAGCTAAAGCAGATTAAATCTTTTTTATATTTATTTTATTTATTGGTTATTTTCTGCTAAATATTTAGTGTCTCTAAGGATCTTTGAGTTTGGTCATTTCCAGCAACATTTTAGTCGGTTAATGGGCTCGACACACGGGAGGCGACATCGCCTCTCCTCCATTCATTTTCAATGAGACATGCGCGACAAAGCGATAATCGCGGGTCTCCCTCCTACTAAGCGAAACGCGAAATTTTGTGCTCGTGCACAGGCGACCCAGCGACGTGATTCCAGAAAGTTGAAACATTTTCAACTTTTCATCGCTGTCGCTCGGACGAGGACCAATCAACGAAGGATTCATTCACTGACCAATGAGCGGACAGGATGCTCCGTACATCTCCGAGCAAACATGGAGGAGAAGTTGATTATTACTATGTTTTATATGGTAAAATCAGAAGTAAGATTTCACATAACTCTAGCAGCACCTTGTGAAACATCATATCTACCACTTTATTAACTCTGAACCGCTTAAATAACCTTAATTCCCTCCAACCTGACACAGCCAAACAAAACAACGTAAGTTTCGATTGAACTGGAACGAATGGATGTTCGATGGAACAGAACGCGTAGACGGCTTTGCCGCTGGCCGCTGCCGCGGATCGCCTCCCGTGTGTCAGGTAATAAAAGCGACAGTGACAAATTTTGCTGATCGCGGTCGTTTGTCGCCTCCCGTGTGTCGAGCCCATTACTCTGCTCACCTCACATGGACTCACACTGGCTAAATAAACAAAAACAGTGAAAAAGCAGATTTAGTCCTTGTATTTTAAACAGTTTACCAATAAATGGTTGAAAACATAATACAGGCAAGTGAAGAAGAAAAAGGTTACTGCTGGAATCAAGATGTGAACCTCTGCAAAACTACTTACCACCCTAGCACTCTAACCACTAGATTACCAAGTTGGCTACATAGCAACAGTCGCCTAATCCACATATCGTATACTGGCCAGAGGAGACAGCTTTCAGACCAGAGAGCAGCAGAGCCTGATGATGAGACTATAGTTTCCGTTGATGCTTCACAGGATTTTCAAAGTAAAACTCTAAATTTGCAGCTGAAACTGGAAAATGCATGAGTGGAAATAGCAATATGAAATGGTTAAAAGCTCCAAAAAGTGGATTTTCCAGGATTTCTGATATTTATACAGTTCTGACCTGCTGATTTTGACCAAAACCCCACAATTATGAAAATGTATTTAAATTTTAACTTAAACATCTTGAGAAGAATGGTCTCCTTGTCTTTACCCCAAAAAGGTTGGCTTTATTGTGTTCACACTGTTATTTTTCTCCTCAGCTGTGTCTTTGACTACTTGGAGCTCAGAGATGGCTCAACAATCGGATCCGATTTGATTTCCCGGCTGTGTGGCAGTACCCGACCATCCACACAACATTCAAAGGGTTCTTCCATGTTGCTTAGGTTTCGTACAGACACCAGTGTTGCACACAAAGGATTCAAGGCTAAATATTCCATAGGTAAGGTAGAAAAAAAGACAGACGACACACAGTTTAATGCACTCATGGACTTGAGTCTGTTATGCAAAGACAATCATCAATGCTAAGATTTTATTTTCTTTAGATAAATGAGAATTGTGTTTCTAATCAAGTACCAGCCAGGAGAGGATTTACCTGATTCGTCTACTCTTTCTGCTGTGATCTGTTCAGTCTTCAAACATTAGATCTCTTTAAACAGTTGGCTATGCAGTAACTGATCAATCCAACAGTTTAACCAACAAGAGGAGCATCTCTAGATTATCTGAAAATATACCCAGAGGTCAGAAGGGTTGGGGTAAAGCAACTGTATCGGCCATTTTTACACTGTATTTTGCACTTTAACATATCTGAGCACTGGAAAACATCACAACTTTCAATTTCATCTTTCCCCCGTGAGGCTAACTCAAATAGTCCACTAAACTTCTCAGAGTTGATCAGGTAGGCTATGAGACATGGTGGTTTCTGCTCACCTCATCATTAACCCAACCCCTGTAGCTTTCATCCAGCTGTGGGTGGCCGTATTCGCCACAGCAAGCTTCAGAAAACTTGGGTTTTGGAGGACTTTTCCATACCTTTTCAAACAGGCGGTGGTTATTGTTTGGGACATTCATTGCATTGCTTCTTCTTGTAACCTTGCCCCGAAAAGCTGAAACGTGAACTCTTCAAGTTCAATGTTGGGATTTTATGATGATCTTTTCCCATTACAGCGATCTGTGGAGGAACCTACATTGGTCAAACAGGTGTAATCCAGAGCCCTGGCTTCCCAGGGCAGAATTATCCTGCCAGCTCCAGCTGTGAATGGTACCTTGAAGGACCCACAGGACACTACCTGACACTGAGCTACGGGAACTTCAGCCTGCAGGAATCCTCAGGATGTTCTGCTGACTATGTGGAGATCAGAGAGTACAATGCTTCGGGTAGGAAAGCAGGAGCAGCAACAGCAGCACACCTGTTTGCAGTAGAGATGATTCAGACCAGCACTTCGCTCTGTCCACAGGTCGTCTACTAGGCCGGCATTGTGGAACTAATCTTCCATCTTCCGTTGACACGTCTGACAGTTTTGCTTATGTGAAGTTTGTGAGTGACTCCAGCACAAACGCAGCTGGCTTCAGGCTGCTGTTTGAGGCGAGCATTGAAGGTAAAATACCGATTTAGCAATTATGTCCTTGTTAGATCATCAGTGAGCATCTAAAGAACCATCCTCAAGGACTTCTAACCCCAACACCTGATTTTAGTTTGGCTTCAGTTCTCAAATTTAATTTCCTACATGAGGATCCTAAAGCCAGCCCAACTGGACCAATCAGAGGCTTTGAGGGTTTTCAAAGCTTACTTACTCAACTGGATTTAAACTTTGGAACTTGAGATGACATTAGTTTGAAATTAAACTTACATAACTAAATAAATATAATAATGAACATTCTCAGTAAAACTGGATTGCAGTCGGGAGCATCCACTTTATTCAGAAACTGTTGTGATGTTCTTTTTCTGCAGCTTGTGGAGGACAGTTGAACGCTCCTTCGGGAGTAATCTCCTCTCCCAACTACCCCAACTTATATCCACACAGCCGGGTGTGTCGCTGGGAGCTGGTGGTGACCCCGGGTCGTAGGGTCACGCTCACAATTGATGACATGCAGCTGGAGGGCTCTGGGATTTCCTGTTCCTTTGACTATGTTGATGTGAGTTCTTGATCTTTCAGACCGAGCAGAAGCTTCACAACAGACTAAAAGCAACCAAAGGTGGAAACAGGATCACAAGGCCCTACAAGAACCTGGTTTTATACAAAAGACCGTCATTGGGCGTTGGAAAGACCCACACACCTAATTCAGTTATTATAAAGGGAAAAACAACCAGAAACTGCTATTTTCTAAGAACTTTGTGACGGTTTAGTATGTCAAAGACACACCTTCATGTGGTTATATACTCCAGTCAGCTGACTGCACGATTAAAGCTGGAGTCACTGCACACCAGACAGTTGCAGCAACTACCCAGCTCATTTTAAAACCATAACTCTTTTCTCCTTCTATCCAGTTCCATCACAAACCATCAGGTCAGAGACTTAGACCTGGGGTCCAGGAATACACAATAGGAACAGCTTTGTTTGTGTCATTTTTCCATCCTTAAAAACGTCTTCATATATTTTTCATCCCCTAATGAAACTCAAACTTCTTCTTCTGGCTCTGGAGAGTACAGACGCTTTTTTCTCCTCTCCCTCCCTGCTCCTCCCAAGGCTCTCTGTCCTGTCTGCCTGTGCACTGTGCTTCTCTGCATTTTTTCTGGAAACTGGAAATTATCAAACATGGATCTGGTCAGTTGGTCTCTCAAAGCGATTGACAAAATCTTTTCAATGATGAGAATGGGAGAAGGGGCTCCCGGATGCCCCTCTTGGACAGAGCCAGCTGGGTGTATCATGTACTCCTGGAAACAGTGGAACCTGGTCTGCCTCTCTCAACTGTCTGTAGAGGATTCTGAAGATGTCTGGATATTTGTCGTTTTGGTGTCGGGATTCCTGCTGTTTGGCCTGAGCGGTTACCTGGCATACCGGAAAATTAACGAGCTTTCGAGGAATATCGTCTTAATCCCGGAGCTCAGGGATGGAATGCATCGTGCTGTAAACTCACAAACTCATAACTGTCGAGATGATTCGTAAGCTTGGAACTTTGGCTGAGATTCAGGCTCTGGCACAGAAGATGGATTCCATCAAGGAGCGAGTTGACGGATCAGCACGGATTTGAATAGTTTGATAATGCCATTATTGGACCTGGAGGGGTTGAGGACCAACAGAAATCTAAAAGGTTGGTTTATGCTTGACGTGTCCGCGAGGTCCGCACGGCTCCGCGCGGCGAAATTGCGTCATTTTAACAACCACGCCCCTCCACCGCGTGTCCGCACGGCCCAAAATTTCCGCAACGCGAACCTAGGAAAATTTCTAACCACGCGGATGGACGGACGCGGAAAAACATGGCGGACCGGCAAGAACTAGTATGGCAGAGGTTCGTAAATACAGACATTTGTATGATTCAGCTCTCAGAGATCACCGTGATCAACATGTTGTTAATAATTCTTGGAGAGAAATAGCTCGCACTGTCGGAAAAGACGAGGACGCTGTTAAAAATGCTGAAATGCCATGTTGTAAACAGTTATTTCTACTTCTACCACGGTGTAGTGTTGAATGCATGCCGTAGAGCTCCATGCTGCCCCCTACAGTTTGGGAGAATATTGGCTCACCGCAGAGACAAGCCGCATGAACCATAAACGCTGCGAGTTGTGAAGCGCCTTCCATCCACGAGCCGCATCACTGCGCGGAAAGTGTATGCGTCAAGCATAAACCAAGCTTAAGGCAGAGAGGAAATTATCTCTGTCTGTACCCAAAACAATTCTTATCTGAATCTGGTGCCCTTGAAGCCTGTGAGGCTGAAGTAAAAACTCCCCCCGCAGAAGAAATGTTGAATGCTGCCGTCGCTATGGAAACCCCTTCTCCCTATCCCAGCCTGGACGGGACTGTGACCGGTGAAGGTCGTGGAACCGTATCTAGGAGTCAATGTGCTCTCTAACCCATTATCTCCCTCCCCTGTCTAAACGGAGGTGATGAGTGCTGCCCCATGCGGCTGCACGCTCTGAAGTGAGGAGAGTCCCAACCCTACCCCCCACCTAGTGGACACTTATGTTGTGTATCGTCTGAACTCTGTGTGTGTGACCTGGGCAACGCTGGAGCTGCAGAGCGCAAGCGTCAAACCGGGGATTCATAACGACACAGGTGGAGAGCGAGTGTGCAAAACCAGAGGGACAGAGACACCAGGGAGCAGAAGTTTGTCTGCGTCCTCTTTTATTAAGTAAATAAAGAAGACTTTGCTTAGTAAATGATCCCCAGTCTAAAAGTATATAAAACCTAAAAAAATGCGTAAGAATCAATGCAGACAAAAAAAGTTTGAGTCCATAAAAGCAATGAACACAAGTTCTTTAAGAAGACCCCCAAAGATACTTGGGCTCCTCCCAGATCCACAACGTCACGTAGAGGGAATTTCCAGGATGGGAAAGGCGACCTCCCATCTTTTGTGTCCCACTCCAGCAGTCTTTGGTCTTGCTCTCATCAGGCGATTGTCTCAGGCGTGATCTCCCGGGGGCTCTCGCCGCTCCTCCCTGCCAAGGACAAAACACTGGGACAGAACCTTTGTCTGTGAAGCGGTGCAATCTCTTTGTCCTCCCGTAGGATCAGCCCATACGGAGCATCACCCAGCATACGACAGTGGGAGCAGTCCACTCACGGATGCAGGCAGAGGTCCAACCTCTGCCCTGCCGTCATTCAAAGGCGTTGCTCCCACTCTTTGTCGCTGCACGCCAGGGATGAACTTCTCCTCCTGCGATCCAACCTGTTCTGTGCTACGTCCTCTTCTATTAGTGCAGTCCCTCTGCCTTCTTGTTTTTGTCTCTTTCCCCTCCCGCAGTTCTGCAGCTTCTTCCTTTTATCAGCCTGCCAACTACACCTGGTGCGCTGTCACAGTCACGCCCACCTCTTCAGGTGACTGTCATCAATCATGTCAACAGTGGCAAAACAATCTAAACTAAACATGCACATAAAACCAGCAACACGCAACAAAATCATGCAATAACACAAAACTGTTAAGAAATTCAAACACTTATTAAAAGAATTTAAAGCAACAGAAAACACACATTCCACTGTGTGACATGTGCATGTCTGTCTGAGGTGTTTCTCTGCATAGCAAAGCTATCCTCTCTGTAGGGGGTAACTCTGAAGTACCTTTTTTTCCCCCTACCCCCAACTCTATCCTCATATAAACCCTCTTGATCTATAACGGTAGCGCGACTCGTGTTGCGAATGACCACAGTCACCAATTCTTGTCATGTGTCTATGTATGTAGGTCTGATCTAGGAATTGTGCGTACTGAAACAATTGAATTTCCCTCTGGGATTAATAAAGTATTTTTGGATTGAATTTGAATTGAATATTATTGTATTATTATTAGTTGATCTCCACACTGGCCTCACAGGAATGCTTAATTCAATCTCCTGTTCAAACCCTCCACCTTTAAAGGGACAACAGCTTTTTTAGGTGAAAGCTCAAAATAATCCTTTAAATCAGGTTTGATCATTACTTTCTTATTTCTGCACAACATGAGGGCTTCTCCTACTTTATTTTATTAGTAATAAGTATTTCATCATTAGATTTTAAACCCTGCTGGTGGACTAACCGTAAGCTCTTTCTTTTCTCTCTGGGTGCTGTAGGTGTTTAATGGTTTGGCTGCTGATGCACCTCTCCTGCAGCGGTTCTGTGGTTCTGTTCCAGCAGGCACTCAGATTCATTCCTCCAGTAACAGCATGGTAGTTGTGTTCCACACCGATTCATCCGTCTCCGCTGGCGGCTTCCTAGCCTCCTACTCCTCTGATCAACCGGCAGGTGAGAAGCTGTTTCTTCTTTTTCTTCTTCTTCTTCTTCTTGTTCTTCTTCTTCTTCTTCGTCTTCTTCGTCGTCTTCTTCTTCTTCGTCGTCTTCTTCTTCTTCGTTGTTGTCTTCTTTGTCGTCTTCTTTTTCGCCTTCTTCGTCGTCTTCTTCTTCGCCTTCTTCGTCGTCTTCTTCTTCGTCGTCATCGTCCTCTTCTTCTTCTTCTTCATCGTCTTCTTCTTCTTCGTTGTCTTCTTCTCCGTCGTCTTCTTCGTCATCGTCTTCTTCTTCTTCTCCGTCGTCTTCTTCGTCATCGTCTTCTTCTTCTTCGTCGTCTTCTTCTTCTTCTTCGTCGTTGTCTTCTTCGTCCTCTTCTTCTTCGCCTTCTTCGTCGTCTTCTTCGTCGTCTTCTTCTTCGTCGTCATCGTCTTCTTCTTCTTCTTCATCGTCTTCTTCTTCTTCGTCGTCTTCTTCTTCTCCGTCGTCTTCTTCTTCTCCGTCGTCTTCTTCTTCTTCTTCGTCGTCTTCTTCTTCTTCGTCTTTGTCTTCTTCATCGTCTTCTTCTTCGCCTTCTTCGTCGTCTTCTTCGTCATCTTCTTCTTCTTCGTCGTCATTGTCTTCTTCTTCTTCTTCATCATCTTCTTCTTCTTCATCGTCTTCTTCTCCGTCGTCTTCTTCGTCACCGTCTTCTTCGTCGTCGTCGTCTTCTTCTTCTTCGTCGTCATCGTCTTCTTCATCGTCTTCTTCTTCGTCGTCGTCTTCTTCTTCTTCGTCTTCTTCTTCTCCGTCGTCTTCTTCGTCACCGTCTTCTTCTTCTTCGTCGTCGTTGTCTTCTTCTTCGTCGTCGTCGTCTTCTTCTTCTTCTTCATCGTCTTCTTCTTCTTCATCTTCTTCTTCTTCATCTTCTTCTTCTTCTTTGTCGTCTTCTTCGTCGTCTTCTTCTTCTTCTTCTTCTTCCTCTTCTTCTTCATATTAATAGTATTGTTGTAAAAATATAAACTAATTTTAGAGGAAAAGGTAGAATATTGTTTAATTTAAAGAAAAAAGTGAAAATAGATCAATCTTTTCATCCTCTTTAACTAATCGTCATTTCAGAATGTGGTGGCCTTCTAAATAACCCAGCTGGAGGGAACTTCACTTCACCTGGCTACCAAGTGTCCAACTACAGTAATAACCTTAACTGTGAGTGGCTTATTGAAAACCCGCGCCACATCAACTCCTCCATTGTGGTGATAATTGAAGACTTGCACGTGGAGCACCATCAGACCTGTCAATCAGACTACCTGCAGTTCCGTTTAGGTGAGTGTCTGTGAATGCACAGAAGCTTTGGATTACAGCATATTTACCAGGTGCTTTTTAACAATCACAAACCAACCATGTGCTTTAAAATGTTTTCCTTTCTTTAGTTTGTTTAGTTTTTCTCCTTGGCGACAGAGAGCAAAGCTAAACAAAAGATTGTAGGAGTTGCTTAAATCAAGCTACATCAAATAATCTAGCCTGATAAAATGTTTTAGTACTAAGATACGACGCTGCAGTAACTTGTTTAATAGTTTGGTGCGGTGGTCGATGTCCCAGCTTTGAGCCAGCATTTACAGGTGCTGGCCAGTAAATTAGAATATCATCAAAAGGTTGAAAATATTTCAGTAATTCCATTCAAAACGTGAAACTTGTACATTATATTCATGCAATGCACACAGACCAATGTATTTCCAATGTTCATTACATTTAAATTTGATATTTATAGGTGACAACCAATGAAAACATCAAATCTGGTATCTCAGAAAATTAGAATATTCTAAAGGCCAATGAAAAAATGTTTGTTTCTCTAATGTTGGCCAACTGAAAAGAATGAACATGAAAAGAATGTGCATGTATAGCACTCAATACTTAGTCGGGGCTCCTTTTGCCTCAATAACTGCAGTAATGCGGCGTGGCATGGACTCGATCAGTCTGTGGCACTGCTCAGGTGTTATGAGAGCCCAGGTTGCTCTGATAGTCGTCTTCAGCTCCTCTGCATTGTTGGGTCTAGCGTATTGCATCCTCCGCTTCACAATACCCCATAGATTTTCTATGGGGTTAAGGTCAGGCGAGTTTGCTGGCCAATCAAGGACAGGGATACCATGGTCCTTGAACCAGGTGCTGGTGGTTTTGGCACTGTGTGCAGGTGCCAAGTCCTGTTGAAAGGTGAAGTCTGCATCCCCATAAAGTTGGTCAGCAGCAGGAAGCATGAAGTGCTCTAAAACTTCCTGGTAGACGGCTGCATTGACCCTGGACCTCAGGAAACAGAGTGGGCCAACACCGGCAGATGACATGGCACCCCACACCATCACTGACGGTGGAAACTTTACACTGGACCTCATGCAACGTGGATTCTGTGCTTCTCCGCTCTTCCTCCAGACTCTGGGTCCTTGATTTCCAAAGGAAATGCAGAACTTGCTTTCATCAGAAAACATAACTTTGGACCACTCAGCATCAGTCCAGTCCTTTTTGTCCTTGGCCCAGGCGAGACGCTTCTTGCGCTGTTTCTTGTTCAAGAGTGGCTTGACACACGGAATGCGACACCTGAATCCCATGTCTTTCATGAGTCTCCTCGTGGTGGTTCTTGAAGCGCTGACTCCAGCTGCAGTCCACTCTTTGTGGATCTCCCCCACATTTTTGAATGGGTTTGTCGTCACAATTCTCTGCAGGGTGCGGTTATCCCTAGAGCTTGTACACTTTTTTCTACCACATTTTTTCCGTCCCTTCGCCTGTCTGTTAATGTGCTTGGACACAGAGCTCTGCGAACAGCCAGCTTCTTTAGCAATCACCTTTTGTGTCTTGCCCTCCTTGTGCAAGGTGTCAATGATTGTCTTTTGGACAGCTGTTAAGTCAGAAGTCTTCCCCATGATTGTGGTGCCTTCAAAACAAGACTGAGGGACCTTTTAAAGGCCTTTGCAGGTGTTTTGAGTAAATCAGCTGATTAGAGTGGCAGCAGGTGTCTTCTATATTCAGCCTTTTCAGAATATTCTAATTTTTTGAGATACCAAATTTGGAGTTTTCATTAGTTGTCACTTATGAATATCAAATTTAAATGTAATGAACATTGGAAATACATTGGTCTGTGTGCATTGCATGAATATAATGTACAAGTTTCACGTTTTGAATGGAATTACTGAAATATTTTCAACCTTTTGATGATATTCTAATTTACTGGCCAGCACCTGTAAATTCACCATCTATGCATGAATCTGTCAGGCTTGCAGAGGCGTGAAAACCACTGAAACCAGAAACCACTGAGTACTCGTAACCGTATGCATCTACTTCTTTATCTCTAAAGGCACTAAATAAAAGACAGCTTGTAGTTCAATAGGCCATATAACCAATTCAGGGACAAGGAGTAACTGCATCATTTCTAGACAAAGGTTTAATCAGAAATGTTGACATGTCTGGTGGATGGTCTCCCAGTCTGGTGCATGCTTGATGAATACAGTGTCACTGGTCTGAAGCTACCTGCCCTCCAAAAATGGCTAAAGGCTGAGTAGGAAGTATCTATTTGCGTCTTTCCTGTTATTCAGATGACTCAGACGGGGAGCTGTTAGCAAAGATCTGTGGACAAACCCCCCCTCAGATTCCCATCGTTGTTTCTACGCCGAAGCTTTGGGTCAATTTTAGGACAGACTCATCCCAGGGAGACCGAGGCTTCAAGGCCAAGTACTCATTTTCTGGTGAGTAACAGTTAATGACAATTGCCAGTCTTACTCTGCCTCAGGAGTTGTGTTGTGATGAAGAATAATTTAGTATAAATTGTATCTGTGCAGAATGTGGTGGCTGGCAGACGGGTGAAGGAGGGGTGCTATCTAGTCCGGAGTATCCCAACATGTATCCAAGTCCCAGTCGCTGTGCCTGGCTGCTCGAAGCTCCTCTTGGCCACACAATCACAGTGAGATCACCAACTGCATACACACAAGTCCAACAGAAAGCAACTCAGTGAACTCACTAAAAACTAGCAGGATGGTTTTAGCTGAGAACAGGTTCCACTCTGATACACAACTGAGTCCAGTCTAAAAGAAACAGAACCAATCATGGCGGTCAACGGAGTGATTGGATCTGGACCAGATGCATCCATATTTTTATACCCTTATCCTATCTGTCTCTTTGTGTTTCTCTAACGTCTCTGCTTCTTTGCAGTTAACCTTCAGTTATTTCAATCTGGAGCCTCACACCACATGTGGCTGGGATTCTGTTACCATCTTTAATGGAGCTTCTCCCGGATCACCAGTGATGGGCCAGTACTGTGGTAGCACCTCTCCTGGGACTGTCCGGTCAGGGTCCAACAGACTTGTTGTGGTTTTCCTGGCTGACCACAGTGTGTCTAGAGGAGGATTTTTGGCCTCCTGGTCTTCTGATTCTACAGGTAAGATGATATGATTCTTCCTTTGCTCAAGGTTGTGCATGTGTGAGCAGCAACGTGATCCAAACTTGAGTCCTCTTGCCTTTAATTTTTTTGTCGATCATTCGCCAATAAACTAAGTTCCATTCTAACGATGAAGCTAAAATTGCCATTTAGCTGTTTATCGCCATCTTTTGGCTAGCCCAACATGCAGCCGGTTACCATTTTCTACAAAGAGGCCAGAGAACCCACCTCACTTACCCTCTGCTGAGTGTCAGAACATCTTCAGTCATGGTTACCAACAAAGTTTATCAAAGCAGCTGTGGCTTCAAATCAGAAAAAACGGATTAATTAGGTCAGGAGCAGATTATAAGACAACCACTTCTATTGGTTACACTGGAAAATGTCCAGACCCTAAAAAATAAGGTAGATGAGCTGCAAGCCTGCACACAATGCTTTTCAAACTATTGGAAATCCTTCATGAACTGCTTGACAGGGATTGGTTCGCAGAAGTGAACAAGCTGGTATTGATGGACTGCAATCCAAACTGTGGTAAAAAGAACAGAGGTGGTATCAACAATACCATCATCCCACTCGCATTACAGTGAAGTACCAGGTTTACCCAACAATGAAATCTTCTTGCTGTCTAGGCTCTATCTGCCTGGACAAACTGTACATTTTGTTGTGTATGTTGCACCCCCAGGTGGCTGCTAATGTTATTTATGAACTTGTGTCACAAGCAACAGCAGATTCTCCTGATGCAGCTAATGAAACTTTGACCTGAGTAGCCAAAAAGCACAGATTCTCATATGTTCTGTTCACAATGGAGCCTGCCTTGACCTTTGCAATTTGCAGGATGTTTTACTTGCACCTACGTCACCTAATCACATAGCCTGGCCTCCCAGACTCGTCCTCTGTTTAACTCTGCACAGAGAAAGAGTCTGGTAACTCACAGGCAGAGAGGCACATGAGGGGCGGGACTAGGCAGCTCAAATCACATGGGTCCACCATATTGGTTAGCAAAAGCATGTGTAAACAGTGAGCGACACGAGTACTGAATAAAGGGAAAGGTGGCGCCTGAAAAAGTTTTTTTGTTGTCGTTGTTTTTTGCGATGTTTAAGACAGCTTCAACTAGTTCAAGCTCAGTTCAGTTATGGGAAGAAGTAGCACACCTAGGTGGGGACAGTGATCTACGGGAGCGAACTGAGAGGAACCGTGGTGACTGAGGTTATTTGTTTTACCAGTTTAGACTGGTTTCTACTGGTTCAAGCCCAGTTCACTTGTGGGAAGATTTAGTGCACCTACTACGTGAGGCTCATTGAGAGCGGTTTTTACAAAAGTTAAGTGTTAGCTAGCTCATGAACGTTGGCTTACATTCTCCCTGCTGCTGTTCACCGATGTAAACAAGTTGCTGACTTAGCTAGAATTCACCCCGCTGAACTTATAACATTATGTTATAAACAGTGTTTCACCTTACACTGGAGCTGATTAAAAAAAACTATAACAAAGTACAGATCCCTACCAGTTTTTGTTGCTGGCAGGGTCACCGAGTTCAGATGCTTCTCACACAAGAGCTCTCTTATTGGTGATGCTCTTAATACTAAATAAATAACGTCTTTCTACATTGGAACATCATAATAGTAAATTATTATCTTACATTTCACTACAGTGATGGTACAGCACATCCTCCATGGTGAAAATCCATTCATCAATTAAGTAATACAAGCACATCACATTTATTATTTCAGATCCATCACAGTCAGTCCATCTTCCTCAAGAAACATTTGAACGTTAAGCCTACCTGGTAAAACATGTTTGCTTCAAATCCAAAAGTAGGCTTCTTTGTGGGCTGCAAGTCCATTTTAATAAGTTTAAATAGAGTTTTTCATTTTAGTCCAACTGGGAACCACTGTCCTGTTGCAGTTTTTCTCAGTTGCTAAAACACTAAAATCCATTGACTGAAGAAAGTTCTCAGTTGCTTGAACTCATTAAGCTAACTGTTGAGCCTGTTGTCCAAACCTTAAACCATTTCACACGCTTTAGCTAAACTCATTCTCAGAGATCATGTGAGTGCAAGTTACCTTTAACCTAGTTACTGTGACCTGTGTGTCTGTCTATAAGTGCACATGATTACTTGTCATAGTTAGCATTACTGATGATCATAAATAATTATTTTATATTGAATGACAACCCTCCATACGTTTTTAAAAGGTCCATATTTATATGGCACAACAAAGAATGTTAGAACCACCTCTCACCTGTCAGTGCGTAGGGATGCTTGAACATGGATGAACAGCTGCTCTACTCCAAAACCCTCCCACCAAATCATCTCACTTTATATCAGTCCTAACCCCATGTCTCTGTTATTCAACTGAATTTACAAAGAGTTGTGGTCCAAATACTCTACTACAGAATCGGACAGCCTCTCTAGAAACCTATCGTATAAAGAAACATCTGGATCCAGTGTCTCGGATCCATGTTTCTGTTTATTAGAAGATCATTGTGTTTGAAATCAACAGCCGTCTTAATTACATGAAGGTCCAACTCACAAGTCAGTTTAAATTAAAGAAATGTTTTGGTAAGTAACTTTAAGAACCACAAAGCAAGTCTAATTTCTCTGTTTTAGATCATTTACTAAAGCATGTTTTAATGTTGTGTAAAATCGTCCATTATTTTGTTTCACTAGGGTGTGGTGGGATGATTCATGCTGATTCTGGAACAATTAAGTCACCAAATTATCCCCAGAACTTTCCAGCCAATGTGGAGTGTACCTGGCAGGTCATTGCCCATGAGGGAAACCACCTAGAGATGAGCTTCAGCAATGACTTTGAGATTCCAGACTCTACTGGGACCTGCCAGAACAGCTACGTCAAGGTACAGAACCCATCTATAGGAGGAATGTTATCTTAGAAATGACTTTTTTGTAGAAATAAAGTGACAGATACATTTTATGTGGACCACTTAAGCTACAGGAGACAGCCCAGTGTCTGAGTTAGTTAGCTTAAAATGAAAATATTAGACCACAGTCCATCACTAGATAGTATTTCTAAAACAGTGGCTACAATGTCATCAACCAAGAAAATAAACTTAAATTATCTTAAAGAGACAATAAATGTGTAGTTTTTAATGTCTGGAAACATCCATCAAAATGTTGTTGACAGTGATTTAAATGATGCCCAGTTGTTGGCGCTTTCGTAACATATGACTATAAAAATCGGGTCTAAAATACAAGGGAGCGGGTCTAAGTCTCTGGACAACGCCATCCTAGGCACTATGTTTCCTTCTATGGGAACCCGTGAGGACAAAATGCATTTACTGATTTGTAACAAATGGTTACAAAACTTTCACCATTCATAAATGTTGTTTTACCTCTTCACTCGTTGCCAGTGATGGAAGAGAGTCCGATGTGCTTGTCAGTTCACTGGAGATTGCACTTCCAGGGACTTTTTTACCCTAATGGCCATCCGTTGGTAAGGCCTTACTCGAACACAAAAATACAGCCTGCTTGCGATAACTTAGGTTTGTACTGCCCCCTATCGCCAAGAAACACGCTTTAAGACATCCACTCATGTATTTACCTCTGCTTATTCGGGGTTGGGTCGCGGGGACAGCAGCCTAAGCAGGGAGGCTCAGACTTCCCTCCACCCAGCCACTTGAGCCAGCTCTTCCTGGGGCCAGCCAAGAAACAGTCCCTCCAGCGTGTCCTGGGTCTTCACTTGGGTCTCCTCTTGGTTGGACGTGCCCGTAAAACGGGAGACATCCTAACCAGAAGCCCGAGCCACCTCAACTGGCTTCTCTCGATGTGGAGGAGCGGCAGATCTACTCTGAGCCCCTCCTAGATGATCGAGTTTCTCACCCTATCTCTAAGGGAGAGCCCAGCCACCCTGTAGAGGAAACTAAATTCGTCCGCCTGTATCCGCGATCTTGTTTTCGGTCACTACCCAAAGCTCGTGATCATTTAAACAAACAAATATTTGTCTGTAAATTCGATGAACCTGCGGGTTGACAGTGTACTAGTGCACGGTGATATCATGTTAGCTTACAGGTTTGTATGCAACATAGAAAAATCATCACCTCTTGTTGTGTTTGTTGAACAGATTGTTCAGGAATTGACGGAAGGACGACTTTTGGTGAAATCAGTAGAACTTTAGAATGGTGTTCAATATTTCTAAAGGAATAAGAAGCCATGTTGCCTCAGTCTGTTGGATGTGTGCAGTGACCTTTGAACTGAACATGAACTGACCTTTAAAATGACGAATGACATTTGAAATTTCTGACTTTTAGGTGTGGTCAGGCCAATCCCAACAAGCTGAGGACCTCCTGATGACAGGCTGTGGTTCAGTGGCACCAGTAGATGTTGTTTCACCATTTAACACAATCACAAGTCGATTCCAGTCCTCTGGATCCCCTGGAAAAGGATTCTCTGTCTCTTTCAGTACCAGTAAGAAGCAGATTTATTTAGAGTTTCATACTAAATATTGTTCTATATTTAGATCCACCTTTTTGGTGAAACGTCTTCCAATGAAAAGTCCTGTTTCACTCAAACTATTCCTTCCCAATAGATCAGTAGCACACCCCTTAGTTAGCAGCTTCACCATTACCCCTTACCCTGGTGGTTGGATAACCTGGTCAGTAACTCTCAGTAACCTTTACTAGCAGCATTACTGCTTTGTTACCAGAGTTAACCGGAGGCTCAAAAGACCTGGGAGAAGAGTTCCACCTTTTTCTGGATCAGACCAATAAGCTCAGATTTGGAGGAGCTGACTTATTCCAGCCACTCCACATTGAGCTGTGCTCCACCCCAGTTAGCAGCCAAGTCTACAATATTACTCTTAGTTTGTTATGAACCCCGTAAACGTTTAAGGTTGATGTCAGAAAAGCTGCAGAAGGAACATGATTTCAATGATTTTTGAGCAATGGGTAAGGCTCAATTTTCCAACCGCATACTTAATGAGGGTTTTTGTTCGTTTCTCAGGGTGTGGTGCAAACTTCACAGCATCCAGTGGTCGTGTGGTTTCTCCCAACTTTCCAGCTGACTACCCTAACCAGTCTAACTGCAACTACACCATAGATGCTGGAGAGCAGACTGTGATCATCCTAACCTTTCAGGTCTTCCAGGTAGAAGGTAATAGAAACATGAACAGAGATCATTTTTCCTGGTCTGACTATTGGTTATGAAATCTGAAGTATTAATGTTTTAACTGTGTTTATTCTAGCACACTCCACCTGCGTGTTTGATGGACTCAAGATCTATAACCTGGGTGGTAGCACTGCTATTGCTACGTTATGTGGTAGCAACATCCCTGGTCCTTTCTCCACCTTTGGCCCCATGTTACTCCACTTCTACTCGGATTCGGTGATCACCAGCAGTGGCTTCATGGCTCAATACACAGCCATTCGTAAGTTGTCTTCTTTTGTCTTCCGGGTTCTCCATAACGAATCATTTGTCTCCCTTTAGTCCTCTTCTGGGCACACCAGCTAAAATCAGGTCCTCTTTCACCACATTCGTAAATCTCCTGTTTGCTTTTTCTCTCAGCATCCTGCCTGGTGGCTCCAACCTCTGCATCCTTCTACCCATGCCATCATTGTCTCTCCTCTGGCTAACTTTTATTCCTGAAACAGGAGCGCCAGAGCTTTTATCCCACAGAGATAGGCTTACAAGTAATTTGTTTGTCCTAGAGACCACTACAGATGAATTGAAAAAAACATGTGAAACTGCTCTTTAAATACGATCTAAATGAACTGATTTGATGTTTTTTATACATTAGTTGCCTTTATCCTTTTGTTTAGTGTAAGGCCTTTGTTTTTAATCTGTAGCACAACAAACAGAGAGCATAGTTAATGGCAGCAGAGTGAGGGGATGTGGTCATTACTTCCTCCAGCAGTCTAAACCTACAGTAGCATAACTGAAAGGATGAGCCACGATAACCCTGAATATAGGATTTAGAATTGGCAACAAGTTTAAACTATATTTGCCTTGTGTGTGTGTGTGTGTGTGTGTGTGTGTGTGTGTGTGTGTGTGTGTGTGTGTGTGTGTGTGTGTGTGTGTGTGTGTGTGTGTGTGTGTGTGTGTGTGTGTGTGTGTGTGTGTGTGTGTGTGTGTGTGTGTGTGTGTGTGTGTGTGTGTCTTTACAGCATGTGGAGGAGTTTTTAACAGCACTGCGGGTACTGTGAGTAGTCCCGGGCTCTCCATGACCAACTACCACCACAACATCAACTGTACCTACCACCTCATCGTCCGGGAAAACAGAGTGATGGATCTGAAGTGAGACTTTAAATACTTTATGTGCAAAAAACTTATTTTAGGACTACTAAAATTTCTCTAAAAATTGGATTTGGGAAAATATGTCTTAAGAGCTCTTAGATCACCTCTGTATGACCCTCATCATCCACCATTAACAGTGAACCGTTTTCACTATGAATGTGTTCAGCAAGCCAGTAAAGTTTAGCTGTTTCAGGGGTTTTCTCCAACCTCTCCTCTAATGAAGGATCTATGGTTAGGAATGTGACCATCGTCTGATTTAGTCTGTCGTGTTTTCATGTTCTGTCTTCACAGGTTTAATACCTTCCATCTGGAGGCTTCTTCCTCGTGTCTCTTCGACTATGTGGCCGTTTTTGATGGACAGAATACTCTAGCCCCGCTTCTTGGAAAGTTCTGTGGCACAGTGCTCCCACCAAATCTGCGCTCCTCTACAAACCATTTGTTCCTTGTCTTCAGAACAGATGCCTCAGTGAATGGCATAGGCTGGAGAGCAACTTACAGTGAAACCCTAGGTGAGCTAAGACCAGACCACAAGTATGTCAGTGGAGACTAAAACACAGGGTCTACACTGATAGTAACATCCATCCATCTATCCACTCTTCCATCCATCCACCCATCCATCCATTCATTTATCCACTCCCCCGACCCCCCTCCCCTCCAACCGTCCGTCCGTCCATCCATCTATCTATACACTCTTCCATCCATCCACCCATCCCTCCATCCATCCATCCATTCATTTATCCACTCACCCGACCACTCCCCCTCCAACCGTCCGTCCGTCCATTCGTCCATCAGTCAGTCCATCCATTCATTTATCCACTCACACGACCACTCCCCCCCCCCAACCGTCCATCCATCCCTCCATCCATCCATTCATTTATCCACTCACCCGACCACTCCCCCCCAACCGTCCACCCATCCCTCCATCCATCCATTCATTTATCCACTCCCCCGACCCCCCCCCCCTCCAACCGTCCGTCCGTCCATTCGTCCATCAGTCAGTCCATCCATTCATTTATCCACTCACCCGACCATCCCCCCCCCAACCGTCCATCCATCCATCCATCCATCTATACACTCTTCCATCCATCCACCCATCCCTCCATCCATCCATCCATTCATTTATCCACTCACCCGACCACTCCCCCCCAACCGTCCATCCATCCCTCCATCCATCCATTCATTTATCCACTCCCCCGACCACCCCCCTCCAACTGTCCATCCATCCCTCCATTCATCCATTCTTTTATCCACTCCCCCGACCCCCCCCCCCCCTCCAACCGTCCATCCGTCCATTTGTCCATCAGTCAGTCCATCCATTCATTTATCCACTCACCCGACCACCCCCCCCAACCGTCCATCCATCCATCCATCTATACACTCTTCCATCCATCCACCCATCCCTCCATCCATCCATCCATCCATTCATTTATTCACTCCCCCGACCCCCCCCCCTCCAACCGTCCATCCATCCATTCATCCATCAGTCTGTCCATCCATTCATTTATCCACTCACCCTACCATCCCCCCCCTCCATCCATCCATCCATCCATCCATCCATCATGACCTAATTTCCATCTGCATTCTTTTCTCAGGTCCAGCTCAAGGCTGTGGTGGTTACCTTTCTATGCCCATGGGAATGTTTGGTTCACCAGATCCAAACCTGGATGGACGTTATGAACCCAACATGAACTGTGTGTGGACCATTGAGATGCCAGTGAACAAGGCCATCAACCTGACTTTCGAGTCCTTTGACTTGGAGACTTCTTCTACTTGTGCCTATGATTATATCAAAGTAAACATTTGAGTCATATTAGTGAGCAAGTCACGCAGCAGTTTCTACATTAGCAAGCTGCAGATTTTTCACCTACAGATTGTTTGATGTGTGTAATCACAGATTAGCTACATCTTTTAATTCTAAGTGATGTTTTTAGTTCAGTTCAGTTTATTTATATAGTGCCACGTCACCACCAGAGCCAGAAGTAAAAGGTTGATGTCAGGAGAGGCAGCATGTTGTCTTTGTGTTTTGTATGATACCAAAGCAGTGTCCTGACTCTGCTCCTACGTGTCTGTGCCAGGTGTACGATGGGGGGAACATGAACTTCCCTCTGGTTGGGACTTTCTGTGGACTCTCCATCCCAGCTCCCTTTTTGTCAAGTGGGAACTTGCTAACCATTCACTTTAAAACCGATGGTTCAGTACAGAAGACAGGATTCAATGCTACCTACAGAGCAGTTCCATGTAAGAGACCACCTGTTTTCTCTGATCTACTCCATTAGACAGGGGGCTTCATCTTGATCTCATAACTGCTCATTTACTAGTTAGCTTAATAAAATAGGTCTACAGCTGCCCTACTGCGGTTGAGTCGAGGCGAGGGGCAATAAATCCTACTCTGGACACAGTGCTGTAGCATAAAACCAGTAATATACAAAAGGGAAGATCAGGTCTACATCCCAGTTGGATGTCATAAGCTACATTGCTTCTCATAAATCAGAGGTTCAGCAATCAATTGAACCCTTCTTTTCAATGTATCCAGGACAAGCCAGGGTCCCCCAACCCCAACTCCTACGTGCACGCACACAATTAAAAGTGAATAATTACAAACTTCATTCAGACATACAAAGATACAGAGTTAGAGTTTGGATTGTACTATTGGGTGTGTTAACTGGATTCTATAAATGGAGTTTTTACAACTATAATCTTGGCAACCTCACAACATCAGTGCAAATAAAATTGCAGGCTCGAACCTGCAACCTTTTTAGGGGGCGAGCACTCAACTCCTGTGCCCCCGTCACCCCAAACTATTTTAGATGCAGATCAGACACAGTTGATTCAGCTGAGCAGCTCATCACTTTGCTGCTGATTAAACTCAGCTGCGTTGAAGCAGATAAACCTCTAAAACCGGGTATTTGATTTTGGTCCTGGAAGGCTGGTATCCAGCCCATTTTAGTGGTTGAATCACCTGTGCAGCAGCTCATCAGGCTCTGCAGAAGCCTCTTAATTACCTTCTGACTAAAATCAGGCGTGTTGAAACAGAGTTCAAACTAAAACGTGCAGGATACCAGCCCTCCAGGCCTGGAATTGAAATACCTCTGCTCAAAAACACCATGGACCGGGGTACCTAGCCCTGCAGCTAATATAAAGCTATGGCTAATGGCTATTTACCATACAGACTGGTCCTTGCTGGGTCGTCACACCTCACAAGCTCAAAATGATGAGGCTCAGGTGCGCTAGCCTCCTCCAAAAAGCCCTAGTCCCTTTCGTCTGGGTGAGGAGGCAGAGAAAAGTCCTCCACTTCAAATGACAGAGTCAAAAGAGCTAACCCTAACCCTCATTAGCCATCTGTCTTTATCACTGCTGCAGCTCTGCCCTCCTGGTCCGCCAGGCGCCACCTACTTGTGGTGCATTATTTAAAACTGAAGTGTGGGTGGAGTGAGATTGTGGGACTGACATTACTCACACTTTAAATGTCAGCTGTATCAAACAGCATGCTCCTTGTCTCAGTGCTCTTTTAGCTTGCCCTGAGGTCAGACACAGCGCTGTGAAACGTCCATGTGTACCTATCCTGTAGCGGTCCTGTAGCAAGTTACTGCCCAGAGTCAGATTACTTATTCCTAAAACACTGACCCCTCCCTGAGGCCCAGTTAGGAGTCCAGGACAACACCGTTCTCTGCATCAAGGTGCACTAAAACCCTTCCACCTCATCTAGGAGGGGGTTTTGCAGGAGAAACAAGATCTTCCAAAAGTATATCATTGTTATAGTTTCTCTGTTTCTGCCTTTCCTCAGTGATGTGCGGTGGGACTCTGAACGCCACCGTTTCAGCACAGACCCTGACCTCACCCTCCTTCCCCAGCGCCTATCCCCCTTACACGTCTTGTCGCTGGATCCTCGATGCTCCACCTCAGGAGACCTTGAAACTATCCGTCCAGACGTTTGTCCTCCAACCAAGCCAGAGCTGCTCTACCAATTACCTGGAGATGAAGGACTGGCCTTTGGTGAGTTTGGATGGAAGTTTTATCAGAGACAACAAGGAAACAGCAGATTTAGTGAAGTTACCTTCATGGATACCAAAACGACTCGTCTACCTTAACCCTTGAGCTCATTCACAGTAAAGCTGCTTCTATATGTATCGCTGCAGGCAACAACTAAAACGATGGCACCTTGATGTTCCACAGGTTTATACCTGTTTTACAGTTCAGCAAGTCTTTGCCGTCTTTATTGCTGGTTAGATTTTTGCACAACTGTCAGGTTTGTGTTATTTTGTATAATTTTGAATAACTCTTGCAGAGTTTATTAAAATATGATTAAACACTGAAGGAAAATAAGTCAAATAAATACTGTCGGTGGATTCAGCTGATCTGTGGTAAACCGTCCACTCTGGAAGTTTAAACAGATTAAAAACCTTTAAATTTGGTTTAAAAAAAAAAGGTTTTGAAGTAGATGTTCTGTTTTGGCGCCCCCATGTGGAGACGACCTGCACAGCAACTATTTCAATGTGGTCTTCATCACCACAGAAATTGTGATGGAGCAGCTCTGTCTCTTCTTCCTGCTGATAATAAACTTTGAGGATTTTTGGAATCAAATCTGACAAAAATGAGTTCTGGAAGGATCTTAAGTCCAGTTAGGAACGCTCTTTCCTAATATGTTGCTGTATTCATACTCCTCGCTCCTTTTGGTGGTTTCAGGCTTTCTGTCACCATAGTATAGATAAAGATATTTTAATACGCAAATCAAAACTAACCTGCATAAAACGCGTGTGGATCGGTGCAGCTAAGGCCTGACTGGCGGTTTCAGGTGCAGAGTGGAGACTCCGCCCCTTACTATAGGACGGAGAAACTCTGAGCTGACATGTTTAGCAGGTTGTGAGCAGCAGAAGGTTGTTGTGTTGCTGAGTGTGTTTTTGTTTGCAGGGAGACTTTGGACAGTCACATAAGTTCTGTGCATCAGATGATCATCCGCTAGACTTCTACAGCCACAGCAGAACTGTCCTGGTTCACTTCAGATCTGACGCCTTCTTCACAGGAAATGGACTCAGCTTCACTTTTCAGATAGCTAGTAGGAGCCTTTCTAATTCTTTATAAATGTAGCTGTATGTCTTCTGCACACACACACACACACACACACACACACACACACACACACACACACACACACACACACACACACACACACACACACACACACACACACACACACACACACACACACACACACACACACACACACACACACACACCTCCAATCCCTCCTCTATCCTTTTCTCCATCTCCGGCGCTTTAACCAACCCTCCTACTCTAAAAGTTCTGGCTAACCTTTGCAGTGTTTTCTGCTCGTCTGATGTAGGTCTGCTTGCGTTTCAGACTGCAGCAGGACACTTGAACAGGACTTTGGGTACCTGAAGAGTCCAGGATGGCCAGACATTTACCCCCACAATGTGGACTGTACCATCATCCTGAAGGCTCCACAGAACAGCTCCATCTCTTTATTCTTCAACAGTTTTGATCTGGAGAGCCACAGCAACTGTAATTTTGACTTTCTGGAGGTAAAAGTGTGTGTGTGTGTGTGTGTGTGTGTGTGTGTGTGTGTGTGTGTGTGTGTGTGTGTGTGTGTGTGTGTGTGTGTGTGTGTGTGTGTGTCACTACAGATTACTGAATGTAAATGTGTCATCTCCCAGATCCGTAATGGGAGTACAGCTGTGTCTCCTCTGATTGGTCGGTTCTGTGGCAGCACTCTGCCCAGTCCCGTCTTCCCACAATTCAATCTGCTCTACCTACGCTTCAAGAGTGACTTCTCACTTGCTCGAGATGGCTTTGATGCCACGTGGACGTCATCTCCTCATGGTAAGTAGTTACTGTAATCATTTGTCACTGTAGTGCTTCACTGCAGCTCGTCTGGTGACTGACATGCTGACAGTTTTCTCATGAGAACTCCTGTTGGTTGACCTTCTAACGCTCATGTGCTCATGGCGTTCTTGTCTCCAGGTTGTGGTGGCACGCTGTTTGGAGATCATGGCTCGTTCACCAGCCCCAACTACCCAGGAACATATCCCAACAGTACTCATTGTGAATGGGGCATTATGGCCCCTCGGGGTCGTGTGGTGACCATCACCTTTGCCCAGATTAGTATTGATGACCCAGGAAACTGTCAGGACAATTTCCTCAAGTTGTACGATGGCTCTGGCCCATCGTCGCCGCAGATTGGACCTTACTGTGGATCGGTATGCATCTGAGGAGACAACCTGTGACGTCTTGGTCCAGTTAAACTGGTTTTATTTCATTTAACCAAACATTAAATGACTTGTAGAGCACCTTTCAGAGTCAGAGGACTCCAAAGCACTTTACACTACAGTGTATCATTCACCCATTCACACACACATTCACACACTGGTGGTGATGAGCTACAATGGGGCGCACTGACAGAGGTGAGACTGCCATACACAGGCACCACCGGTCCCTCTGACCATCACCAGCAGGCAAGCTGGTTTAAGTGTCTTGCCCAAGGACTCAACAGCAGCATTCTCTACCAGTAGCCAGGATTAAACTCACAACCTTTCGATTGGACAACCTGCCCTATCTCCATGCATGCTCGACACATGAGGTTCCTGATCTCACAGCAGAAAAGTCTCAGGTCTTGCACACCACGGGGAGCGTGCAGGGCGGAATTTTTTGTTTTCTTTTACAGTTCGGTGTTTGTGGCCCTAATTTCTAAGAAATAGTGAAGATTCTGTTTTTGTTCTTCTGTTCCACACTGACTGAATGTTTGAGTCCTCTCCACCTAAAGCTGTTTTCTTCTGTGTTTCCAGGAAACTAACGTCGCTCCATTTACGGCCTCCTCCCATCAGGTGTTTGTGGTTTTCCAGGGACAGTACTCCACCCTGCCTTCAGGGTTCAGACTCACATGGAGCAGCTAGATCACACACACACACACACACACACACACACACACACACACACACACACACACACACACACACACACACACACACACACACACACACACACACACACACACACACACACACACACACACACACACACACACACACACAGGATATGTTAAATCATGTTTAAAGTTGATCATCTACTGTTTCATAAATAAATCTTTAGAATATTAAGATAATAAAATATTTATGAAGTGCAGAAACGTCCTTTGTCTCGTTTATTGTTTAACATCTGAAGTGACTTGGTGACTCGCTGGAAAGGAAGAGTTTTCTCGAGTCCTTTAATTTGAAACTGAATATTTATATTATTGCCATTTTGAATTCCAGCCTTTAATGAGACCAACAAGCTGGGTTTAGTTGGTCTTCAACCAGGAGAAGCCAGTCAATGCCAGGATCTAGTTTTAGCATGTTTAACACAGCTCTCTCTACTCTACTCATCAAAAGCTTTCATCTTTTCATTTAGACATGACGCTTGGATAAAGTCTCGCCGTGAGACTGACAAGTGTGTTTTTTCATGTTTTCCTAGGGAGTAAGAGTGAGTGTGTCAGCGTATTTAACTCTAGAGTTGATGCATGAATGTGATGAACCAAACAGAGCTGTGAATGAGGAAGAGTTCACATTTCTGAGATTTAGTTTCAAACCCGAGGCCTGAGAACAAAAAGATTAAATTTTTTCAAGTATTTTAGGAATTTGATTCAAGTTTTCCATAAAGATGATTAGTCGTCAGCTAATTGGCTCATGATGAGCTCTTTCCTCAGGGAGCATAAGTCACGCCCACCTACTTCCGCACTGTGGGTCCACAGAAGAATGAAAAAAAATTAATGCAAGTCAATGGGGCTAAAAATACTATTTTCTAATTCTGCTTATTATGAGCCATGGATTTCACACATGATGTCCGTGAATTTTAAAGACACATTTTGATACTAAGAACGTGTTTATTTTCGAACAGGGGGAAACTATTTTAGGGTTTTGTGTGAAAATAAGTCCAGAACTACAAATGTGTTTCACGAAAGTGACGTCATCGAACCTGACACGAGAAAACTGAGGGAAAATGGCTGTAAGTTCAGCCAACTTTACCCAGGAGGAAAGAACCATAGATACCACCATAAATCTGGCCATGTGGTAAGTAGCAGCTACGCTAGGGGGGAGGAGATTATGTGGTGATGTCACATATGCAATGTGCCAATTTCTAGTTTGTAGTCATGCTAATTACGAACTTTTACAAGCTAATAAATCTCAAAGTACGTGACTGGCATGGTCAAAACACCCATCATTACTTTTCATTTAAATTGCAGTACAACATATGTGTGATCCAGGGCGTAAGGCAAAGCGGATTAGAAAATAGCGTTTTTAGCCCCGTTGACTTGCGTTAATTATTTCGTTCTTCCGGGGACCCGTGATGCGGAAGAGACTTAGGCTCCAGTGGAAGGGGTAGATACGATACATCTGTGAAATGAAAAATTGAAAGTCTCATTTGAATCGCTGACTTGTTGACAGACATCAAATAAGAAATGTACTTTTCATGGAAGTCTGTCTCCATCCATGACAACTGGATCATTACTCTCAAACCCAACAAAGACCTGTTGTTCACAAGCTGGGCATGTTTAGGAAATGATGGGTTACAAATAATTCATTCTTTGTACTCAAATTTTAGCCAGAACTCGGAGGTATTAATGAATTCATCTGTGAACATAGAGTTAGCCGATACGCTGACGACACAGCCATCTTTATTCAAAGCAAGGGTGTGATAATAAAGCACTTCAGGTGAATCCATCTTTCTTAAGGCATTCGTTAAACCTGGTTAAGTATGATCTGAATGAATTTATACGGGAGGAACTAAAACCAACCAAAGTAAGAGGACAAATGGGGCCAACGGTTAATTTGTTAGTTAAAGCTGAAGGGTTGCCACGTATTCTAGTCAAGTATTAAATATATGCAGAAAAAATGTAACTGAATTTTTAGCTTCAGTAGGAGAAATAGAACGCACTGCTAAGAAATGAATCTGGTTAAGGATCTTGAGATTGAGTCACTTTGACTGAATAAATGTCATGTTGAGAAAATCTGGATAAAGGTTTTTATCTCACTTGGACTCGCTGTGGTTCCACAAACTGAAGGGGTTAGGGTCTGTTTGAAAAAGCTGGTGGGCTTCATTCATTGTTAATATGTGATGGCTTAATTTCTAATTTGTCAATAAAATAATTCAGTTTACATAAACAAATAGAGTTTTGTAAGATGGTGTTAAATACCTCCAGAGGGTTATGTGTGGGACACGCAGTGCAGAAGGATTAAAGTTGCAAATGCAAATGTTTGTTTTCACTCATAGCCCATATTTCATAAACACAAACACCAACAAGCAAGGTGGGTTTGGTGTGTTGCCCAAAGACACAACTGCAACACACTGAGCAGGACTCAATCCTGCAACCCTCGGGTTATGAAACTCGCATAGCCTCCTCTGCCACTGTCATCATGTCTTCATGTAGAATAATATCCTCTTTCTTCAGTGGTCCTAGAGTTAATGCCTTTACAGCAAATTTTGATAGATGCCATTTTTACCAACCAAAAAATTATTTAAAGAAATCCTATTTTATCTTTAAATTTCCCAAAATGTATCACACCACCATGATTAAGTATGGAATATATTCTCTGCTTTATTTCACGTTAGACTCAAAGACCTTTGTACCAAAAATTTGTTTCTGCAATATTATTGTTATTAATTTCAGCAGGTTATACACATCGGTTATACATTAATTCTCTCTCTCTCTCTCTCTCTCTCTCTCTCTCTCTCTCTCTCTCTCTCTCTCTCTCTCTCTCTCTCTCTCTCTCTCTCTCTCTCTCTCTCTCTCTCTCTCTCTCTAGTTCTGTAGTTTGGTAGTGGAAACAAGCCATTACTACAGGCAGTGTTCACAAAGGTGGACAAGACAAAACTGATCAACACTCCTTTTAGATACCTTCAAAATAAAACAAACCACTTATGATCTTTATCTTTTATTATTGATTTTAGTGCTGCAGCTGATAGCTTTTAACTTTACTACGTTTAATCTTGTTGGACTACACAGATTAATAAAATAAATTTTAAGAGTTTTACTAGTTAAATAGTTAGTACACCTCACGGTCTGGGTTACCTGTTAGTTGTACTAACTATGCTGTTAACGCTGATTTAAAACCACAGTAATTTTAAGTGGTATGTTTTAATTTGAAAGAACCTACAGGAAATGTTAATGAGTAATGTTTTACCTTATAAACACTCCATGTAGTAACTGTTTCCGTCCGCTAGAGGGCAAAAAGTCCTGCGTCTCTAAAGCCAGACAGTATGAGGTGTTCCATCCAGTTGACCTGAACATACAGAAACATAGGCAGAGTATGTGACCATCAATCAAATCAAACTACCGATTACAAATTATCAAACAACAGGTTATTTAGACAAATATATGATGTCTGTGTCTTGTACTACGAGACTTCCGCATTCTTTCGTGACGTCGCACTCTGTGGGCGTTACACCAAGAGAAAATCTCCCAATAAGGAACGGGTTTTAGACTCAAACATCCTGTAGGTAGTTTGGGTCAGAAATCTGGTTAGAACGTGTAACGGTTCGGTCCTACAGCCTTCCTCCAGACGGTAAGAGACTAACCAGCTGGTTAACGGTCACGCGCTCATCTAGAACTACATCCGGTCCGACTATAGCAGATTCCGTCTCTCCGTCTTCGCTCCGAGTCTCAGAACCATGTCCAAGTCTTTAAAGAAGATCGTTGAGGAAAGTCGAGACAAAAACCTCCCTGAGCTGGAGATGTGCGACAGGAGTATCTCCAACATGCTGGACGTCCCCGGACTCTGTAAGTGTGTGTGTGTGTGTGTGTGTGTGTGTGTGTGTGTGTGTGTGTGTGTGTGTGTGTGTGTGTGTGTGTGTGCGCGTGTGTGTGCGTGTGTGTGCGCGTGTGCGTACATTGGACACAGACAGGGACTGTCAGAGGTCAGGTGTGTTACCTGGGTGGGTGGAACTACTGGGGAGTCAGAAGCTTTATTGGTGAGTCTGAGACAGGAGGTGTCCCACTCATTCGTCCTTAAATGCAGTAATACACAGTAAAGGAACCATGAACGGATAATGTCATCAGTCATCAGTAACAGGGTCACACAGGTTCTGCTGACAGATGATGGTGTTCCTGCTCAGTGGCCTAGTGGCAGAGTGTCCGCCCTGGGACTGGGAGATCGGGGTTCTAATCCTGGTGTGGGTCACATCCATGTCATAAAATGGGACCCAATACCTACCCGCTTGATACTCAGCGTTAGGGGTTGGATTGGGGGGTTAAACCACCTAATGGTCCCCGAGCACGGCCCTATCTAATGGGACTTTAACCGGATCCAGATTAAAGAACAGAGTTCTGTTTCATGGAACCTTCCAGTAACGTGTTTGTTATGTTCGTGTTGTTTCAGTCACGCTGTCAAACATCACTCAGCTGGTTCTGAGCCACAACAAGATCACAGGTAAGCTACACCAGCTAGATGAGTAATTACAACACTCTGCTCACCTGTATTCTAGCTATTATGATCAATATTAATATTATTATAAATTTTCGTTTTACTAATTTTAATCATACCAGTGTTTCCTCTGTGGGGCCCTCTGCCTTGGGGGTGGTGATTGTCTGTGGCGGCCTGAGCGCTCCTAGGGGTGTGCTTAGGCGGTGGTGGGGGTTTCTGCCCTCCCTCCCTGGGCGCCCTGGGTTGGTGCCTTGGCTGCTGCCATCGATCAACTACTGCTGAGGCAAATGGCTCACCTGATGGATTTTCATTCATTACCTAACTCATCTGAACTCAGCCTAGTGTTTAGTAGTGCTGTTTTTTAGATTTTGTGTATGTGTGTGTGTGTGTGTGTGTGGGGGGGGGGGGGGGGTGTGTGCCTTGCAAATGGGTTGTGGGGGTGTAGCTCTCATAACTGTTCTTATATTTGTGGAGAAGGGATGGGAGTATGGGTTATATTGGGTCATTTTAATCTATAAAGCACGTTGAGCTGTATTTTCTTTAGTATGAAAAGTGTTATACAAATAAAGTTTGATGGATTGATACACTGTTATAACAGGGGGGGTGTCCGAATCCACGGGTAGGATGCTTGCGAGTACGGGTCCTTGCCGGTCTAGCAAGGCTAGACCAGAACTCAGCGGCTCTGTGACGTCATCGACCTCAAAATGCGCTCTTACAAGCATCCTTCCCGTGGATTGGGACACACCCAGGATCTTCTGCTGGTACAAGCTATAGCTGTTAAACCAGTAAATACACAGGACCAGAACAACACATGTCCCTGAGACTCAGCACCCGTCCACCTCAGACATATGTGGAGGAGTCTGATTTTGAGACACAGCTAGGGAAGTTATGTTAGACCTGCACTAAACCTATGATAATGCTATGCTAGAAAGTTTTCGAGATGTGCTAAATTCTTTCTAGTGGGCTACAGACATAGCGGTTAAAACGAGGGCAAGGTTTCAGAGATGCCCACAGACTCCCAGAAGCAGTGTCCTGCAGTAGTGAACAGGTGAGACGTGTCAGTGGAGCCGGTGACATCCAGAACATAGGTGGACACACCCAGTAGGAGGAAGTGACACGTGCATCTATGTGTGTTTTCTCTTCCACGTGCGGTTCTCCAGCTGTGCCTCCAAACATCTCAGAGCTGAAGAACCTGGAAGTTCTAAACATGTTCAACAACCAGATTGAAGAACTTCCTACTCAGATCAGCAGCCTGCAGAAGCTCAAACATCTCAACCTTGGGTAACAAACACACACAGGAGCCTCTAAAGCTGCTGGTTTAGCCCCCGAGTCTTTCTTCAGTTCAGGTTTAATGATGATTCTAAAATCAGCTGCATCAGTCACCACGCTGGAATAAGATCATACATATTCTTTCATCCATCCATCACGTGAGGGAAGTTTCACTCTCCCTAACACATCTGAACTGATCTCCTTTCCTGTAGGAGCTAAAACCCGGCAGATTATAATCTCAGATTAGTTCAGGTCTTGTGCAGAAGGCTCCACAGATGAGCTGAAAGCAGCAGATGGTGTGTTTTTAACAGGATGAACCGTCTGAGTGGCCTTCCCAGAGGGTTCGGTTCTTTACCTGCTCTGGAGGTGCTGGACCTGACCTACAACAACCTGAACCAGAGCTCCCTACCAGGAAACTTCTTCTACCTGAGTGAGACCCAGTGCCTGCACACACACACACACACACACACACACACACACACACACACACACACACACACACACACACACACACACACACACACACACACACACACACACACACACACACACACTCAGTGTAACCATACATCCAGCTCACCAGACAGTTTCACTGACTTTTATCAAAAGTTAAAACCTGAAGGTCAGTGATTCGGTGAATCTCCTATTTTATAGGTTTAGATACTTTCTAAGTATCTAAAGTAGACTTTAGAAGTCCGAGACACCTACAGCACGGAGCCATGCGCTCCGTCAGGGTGGAGAACCAGAGAACCAGGTGGGGTGATGCAGCAGCACCACAGGTACACGAGCATAGCACGTCAGATGTTTGGTTAAAACAAGCAGCATTAGCTAAACAAACGGTCTGCTGCTAAATCCCAGGGATGTGACTTCTAGTGTCACGTTGAGATCAGGAGGGTTGGACCCAATATGCCGAACCCTAGGATGACAAGAGGCAGGAGTGGAGATAAAAGTAAAATCCTTTATTAAGGATGAAAAACAAAATAAACATCCAAAAGGGCAGGAATTCAAAACCGATTATCAAGACACTGCGAAGAGGGGGGGGGGGGGGGGGGGGGGGGGGACGGACGGACAACGCTGACAACATCAATGGACCGACAACACAGAGAGACACAGACAGGATTATGTACACAGGAGCTAGTTGATGGGAGACGAGGGGCAGGTGCGTGGGGAATTGGGCACAGGTGAAAACAATGAACTGAGGAGAAGCAGGGGAAGGTGTCAGCCTGGGAGTCATGACATCTAGATCAAGTTGAAAAGATCTGAATACCAGACATCAGCCACTAGTTTGGAGCTGGTCTGGCTAGCCACACTCTGTTAGAGCACCTCTTCCTGTTTCCAGTGACTCCGCCCACTTTGAGGGACAAGCTCTCCAGGTGATGTCCTTACTTTACAGAACATGACTTACAGATGACTGAACTGACCTCTGATCAGATCTCCAGAACGAGCTCCTACTGAACAGAAGCCTGTGTTATCAGACACTGGAGGTATCTGATCATTCGACTTTATGAAGGTACAGATACTTTGGCGGTTTTGTGTGTTTTCTAAGCTTAACGTCAGTCTTTTCCACAGACCATAGCTGTTTGGTTGTTCTTTCCTGGCTTTTGGCATTTGGTCAGATCAGTTATGACTGGGATGGAGCTGCACTATAGGTCTGCTGCATTAAGGTGATGCTTTTGTGGGGAAAACATCCAGGTGGCCCAGAAGGACATTCAGGGGATATCCCTGAATGTTCCGTACACCTGCAACTGGAATCTCAGATGGAAAAGATCTGAACAAAGCTCCACTCTGGTGTGGAACATCAGTATCTCCTCTGCATGGTACCATGTACAAAGATGCTGTTCACAAGTCAAATTCAATTCAACTCAAAGATACTTTATTAATCCCAGAGGGAAATTCGAGTCCGCTTCTTGTGAGGCATACCTAGGACTCTGCTTGCAGGTCATTGAGGTTCTGTGGTCAGGGATTATGACCCTCTACACAGTGATTTAGTTGATCTCGTAGGTTAATGATATTCCAGGGTGGAGAAGCTGTAGACCTCTCCATTTGATCCACAAAGATAAAAGCAGGCCCATTGCTCGTGGTGGTGGCTGCTGCCACAGTCCCATTTGAAAGTGTAGGGCAGGCCCGTATGGATTAGACACACTTGGCCACAACAGGAGCTGACGCCTAGTGTTCTCCATAGTCTCCAACAGTGTTGGTGGACATAATTTCTTCAGTTCTATTGTGTGGTACCATGGAGCAGCACTACGGGTGTGTACCACTGCACTGGACCTTGGTGCTGTACTGTATAGTTCGTTGTTGTGTTAAATACGGATGCAGTAGGCATGTAGAGTGTGTGTACCATCTGCATAAGTAATGGACCCCATCCATTAAAGTTGTAGAACATCATGGTTCCACATGAACATGAGCTAGAACTCTAGAACAGTGGATCCAATAGCAGGTTCTTTACTGTTAATGGCCTTGGAATGATCTCCAGAAACCACATAAAAGTGAATAATAGAACAGTTTCACTGTTATTCATGTCACCGGTCACTTTATTGGGTATACCTGAGCTGCCTTAATCCTTCGTGGCATAGATTCAACAAGGTACTGGAAACATTTCTCAGAGAGTCTGGTCCATATTGACGTGATAGCGTCATGCAGTTGCTGCAGATTTGTCGGCTGCACATCCATGATGTGAATCTCTCGTTCCACCACATCCCAAAGGTTCCCTAGTGGACTGAGATCTGGTGATTGTGGAGGCCATTTGAGTACATTTAAGTCATTGTCATGGTCAAGAAACCATTCTGAGATGATTTGAGCTTTTTAACATGGTGAATTATCCTGCTGGAAGTATGCATCAGAAGATGGGTACACTGTGGTCATAAAGGCATGGACAAGGTCAGCAACAATACTCAGGTAGGCTGTGGCATTGCAGCGATGATCAGTTAGTACTAAGGGGCTCAAAGTGTGCCAAGAAAATGTTCCCCACATCATCACACCACCACCACCAGCCTGGACTGTTGATACAAGGCAGGATGGATCCATGCTTTCATGTTCTTGATGCCAAATTTCGACCCTACCATCTGAATGTTGCAGCAGAAATCGAGACCCATCAGACCAGGCAACATTTTTCCAATCATCTATTGTCTAATTTTGGTGAGCCTGTGAGAATCGTAGCCTCAGTTTCCTGTTCTTAGCTGACCGGAGTGGCACTTGGTGTGGTCTTCTGCTGCTGCAGCCCATCTGCCTCAAGGTTCCACGTTCAGAGATGCTCTTCTTGCCAGACTCGTCCACTCTCTATTCTACACAGAGGACCAGTCTGGAAACTCAGAGGTAGAGAGCACCATGAGGGGCGGGACTAGCCAGCTCAAAAGTAACCACTGAACTGCCGCTCACTGGACGGTTTACCTTTTTCGGACCATTCTCTGTAAACCCTAGAGATGGTTGTGCGTGACGATGCCAGAAGATCAGAAGTTTCTGAAATACTCAGACCAGCCCGTCTGGCACCAACAACCATGCCACGTTCAAAGTTACATAAATCACCTTTCTTCTCCATTCTGAAGCTCGGTTTGAACTGCAGCCAATCATCTTGACTATGACAACATGCTTAAATGCCACCATGTGATTGGCTGATTAGTAAGTTGCGTTAACGAGCGATTGGAGGGTGTACTTCATAAAGTGGCCGGTAGTTTGGGAACGTCTGGTTGGGAGTCTGAGACTGTGTTGTTTGTCCTCCAGCCACTCTTCGAGCTCTTTATTTGAGCGACAACGACTTTGAAGAACTTCCTGCTGACATCGGGAAACTCGCCAAGCTGCAGATTGTAAGTAGATGGTAATACTAAGAAGTACTAATATACACGTTCCAACCAGTCTTTACTCTCATTTCCAGCATGGATGAAATGGTTATTGATTCCAGAGGTTACTTTATGATAATTCCTAGTATTGCTATTGTAAAAACGATTTTACCAATAAAAGACTTTTTGTTATTAAAGTTATTAAAGCTACAGTTAACTAGTCCAACAGACACCGTGTCCCAAACGGAGGACACTAAGGTGTGAGAGGACTTTCGTCTTCAACAAAGACCGGATCCGTCGTCGGACTGGATTTTAGATTTTAAGTGTTGGAAAACTTTTGTCTCTCCACCTGAAAAACAAGAGGAAAGCAACTCTTTGTGACGAAGGAACCGGGACCCAGCAGCTCATCTGTAGCGGCAGGACGAGGTGCGTTACTGGATTGATGCTCGTTCAGTTCCTCTCTGGATTATAAGGTTAATGACCGACACCCCTCAAAAATTAGAGGAACACTTCACTGGATCTCCATCCTGATGTTACGTCTAATGTGTTAGCCACATCATTCAATAACAATGATGATTATTAACCTACAGACGGCTTAATAAAAGTCCACAAGTTATTCATGAAATGAAAGAGACGGATGTAGCAGACAGTCCAGATTTCTGACATGTCATTTCAGCAGCTCTGTATGGTCCTCTAGTTTGTATGCCTTCTAGTTCTGGTGGTAAATACCGGTGGAGCTCCACTAGAGGTCATCGGACCCTCAGATCAGCCTCATCTAAGATGTTCACACTATTGTTTCGCTGGAGGTCTCTTAGAGCTCTAGCAGGACTCGCTGCTGATGGGGACCGTCAGGGCCCCTGTCCAGCTGTCTGAGAGTTAATGTCTCCTGGAGGCTCTAACAACTGAGCTGGGAGGAACCGCAAACCATCTGGCAAGATGTTCTGTCCTCGGGTCCAGGTACCTCCTCCTGTTCCCAGTAGTCAACATCCTGCTGACATGGTTCCGACTAGAACCTTGGTAGGGTCCAACCACAATGCTGGAACCAGAACTTGTCCTTGAGTCTCGTTTGATCCATATCTGGGTTTTAATTTGACAGTTTGTCTTCACTAGATCATCTCAGTTCAGTTAAAATACAAAAACCACAGATTTGTCCTCAGAACATGTTCTTATGAGATGCTGCTCGTTTAAAAAGGCCTGTTTCTTTCTCTCTCTCTCTCTCTCTCTCTCTCTCTCTGTCTCTCTCTCTCTCTCTCTCTCTCTGTCTCTCTCTCTCTGTCTCTCTCTGTCTCTCTCTCTCTCTCTCTCTCTGTGTGTGTGTTTAGTTGAGTCTTAGAGATAATGATCTCGTCTCACTGCCTAAGGAGTTGGGGGAATTGACTCAACTGAAAGAGCTTCACATCCAAGGAAACAGGCTGACCGTTTTGCCTCCTGAGCTTGGTAACACACACACACACACACACACACAGAAGCAAGAGGATGCTCTCATTACGCTTTAAGTCCATTTTTTTTATACACTACACTTCCAAAACATGTCAAACTCAGCAGTTTAGATGGCACCAGACAGGAAGTCAAACACAAAATGAGTGTAAAATGTTCATAAACTTACAAAATAAAAGTCACATGCAGGTAAACGTACGTCATTTCCTGTTAAAACCCTCGTATCTTATATAAACAGAACAGAAAATAAACCAAAAAAAAGTTAATCTTTCCAAGAAAGTGTAAGGTTTGTGCTTTCCTATTGCCTAGACAAGTGGAACAATAAGTAAAATGTCTCTTTACATCATAAAAAGGAGTAAAATAGAATTAGAGACAAGGTGTTTTTAAGGCTTTAGTAGTTTAATGGCTCCACACAACAAAAGGTGCTCACAAACATCTAGCTGTGTTCGTTATCTAAGTGTGATGGTTCTCTGTCTGCAGGTAATCTGGATCTAACTGGTCCTAAACAGGTGTTCAAAGCTGAGAATAATCCATGGGTCACTCCCATTGCAGACCAGTTCCAACTGGGCATCTCCCATGTTTTTGAATATGTTCGTTCAGAAACCTATAAGTAGTAAGTACTCACCCAGATACTGGACAGACCAGTCTGGGTCTCTTCTTGATACACTTTATGTGTGTGTGTGTGTGTGTGTGTGTGTGTGTGTGTGTGTGTGTGTGTGTGTGTGTGTGTGTGTGTGTGTGTTTGTGATGAGAACAAAGGTGATTGTGATTTTAGAGCAGGAAGGAACACAGTGGTGCTGTGTTTCTACAGTCAGGTCTACCTGAGCTCTAGAGCTCCAAAGACGTCTCGTTTGAATAACTAGAAGATTTAGTACCGGTCTGTTGTGATGGAGAAAGCTCAGCCGGAAGGCGAAGCTATACCGGTCGATCTACGTTCCAACCTTCACCTATGGTCACGAGCATTGGATGGTGACCAAAAAGAATGAGATCTTGGGTACAAGCGGCCGAAATGAGTTTTCTCTGCAGGAGTCTGGGCTCTCCCTTAGAGACGGGGTGAGAAGCTTGGTCATCCGAGAGGGGCTCGGAGTAGACCCGCTGCTCCTTCAGGATGGCTCCTGGACGCCTCTCTGGTGAGGTTTACCGGGCACGTCCAACTGGGAGGAGACCTAAAGGAAGACCCAGAGCACGGCTGGCCAGGGAACGCCTTGGGATTTCCCCAGAGGAGCTGGTTGAGGAGAGGTAGGTCTGGGCCTCCCTGCTGAGGCTGCTACCCCTGCGACCTGACCCTGGATAAGCGGATGAAAATGGATGTATGAGTTGTGTTGTGTCACAGCCACAGGGTTAGACATGAGTTCACTCATAGACACGTAGAGTTATGTTAGACAAGGGGACAGAGAACCTGGCTCCAGTTGGTTCTCCTAAATCAGGGCTATTCAATGCTGGGCCTCGAGAGCCGGTGTCCAGCATATTTTAGTGGTTTCTCTGCTCCAACACACTAAATTAAGTGGTTGAGTCACCTGCGCAGCAGCTCATCGGGCTCTGCAGAAGCCCGTTAATCACCTACCAATTGAAGTCAGGTGTGCTGAAGCAGGGTTAAAACTAAAATGTGGTGGAAACCCTAGACGCCCGTAATTTAATATCTCTGTGCTAAATCTTTATGTTTCTTCTTCCTTTTTGTCTTTGCTTCTCCTCGCTGAACCTTCTGCTCATTAATGCTTGCAGAAAACTCTTAAAAGACTTCACAGCACTCATGGAGGAAAGTTGGCTGCAAAATAGAAGGTTAACATTGAGTCAGTGGCCTTTGGTCCCCCTGCACACTCATCACACACTTAGATTTTACATTTAAACATACTGACACACACAAGAGCAGAGGAAGGCACGCAGTCCTCCTCCTGCTGACGTGAACATGCTTGCAAACAGAACTGGCTCTGATTAATTAGCCCATGTGGGATAGAAGAACTCCATAAAGACAATCAGGAATACGAATCTCTTCATTTCCCTTTTTCCCTCAATTAATTGGCTCTAGCGGGTCATCACTGCAGCTGCAGAAAGACACTTACACACACACACACACACACACACACACACACACACACACACACACACACACACACACACACACACACACACAAAATACAGTGTAAAGTGAGGGCAACTGTGGAAAGGACATCTCCCTTTTACCATGAAAAATGGCTGAACTTGGCTCTGAGTGGGTAGCCTTCTGCCTGGACCAACTGGGTTCTGAGAGGACAAGAAGTAGACCGAGACAAACATGACAGGACCAGTCATCGTTACTAGGAGAGAAAAAAGGTAATCGAAACCAGTAAATACAAACACGGAGAGTACAATCAGCAGAGCGGTAATGTGGTGAGCCTAAGCCTACAGCAGCATAACTAAAGGGATGAGCCGGGATAACCCAAGCTGAACGTAACCAGAAGACATCAAAAAGGAGTGTCTGAAGCCTCATCTTAGAGGTATATAAATAAATGACTTAGTTGCCCATAAGAAATTTCGCCAACTCTGCATCTGTCTAGGTACGTGCACTAACACTCATTTGTACCTAAGCAGATGGCTAACACTATTGGCTAATGCTAGGAGCTCAATTCCAATTGCATGAGGTTCTACAGGATGGGGGGCGGGCTCAGAAAAAAATTGACGTATGGCTTCCATTATATCACCAGCACAGGGTAAGACGGTCACGTTTATGGATTTCCAAAAAAATCTTCTGAATTCCTGTGAAAAACTGAAAGCTGTGACTGCATTGATCATTTTAGCATCACATTCTTATTTGTTCTGGATTTTATATAATTTAGTCAAGAGTTCCTGTCAGCCTCCATTCATCCATTTTCTTCTGCTTATCTGGAGTCAGGTTGTGGAGGCAGCAGCCTGAGTCCAGAGGCCCAGACTTCCCTCTCCCCAGCCACTTTAGTCAGCACTTCCAGGGGAATCCCAAGGCGTGCCCTAACCATCCGAGAAACATAGTCCCTCCAGCGTGTCCCGGATCTTCCTTTAGGTCTCCTCCCGGTTGGAAGTGCCCAGAAATCCTCACCAGAAAGGCATCCAGAAGGCATCCTAATCAAATACCTGAGCCACCTGAACTGGCTCCTCTCGGATGTGGAGGAGCAGCGAATCTTCTCTGAGCCCCTCCCGGATGATGGAGCTTCTCACCCTATTTCTAAGGGAGAGCCCAGAAACCCTGTGGGTCAGCTCTCCTTTCACCACAGCAGACTGGTTGCACATCTCAAGATAAAATTCTGAGGCGCTTCACAAACCCCCCCTAAAAAATTTAAATATACAAAAGATTTCATAAAATGATTAAAAATATGTTTAAAATGAGAATGAAATTAAATTGTTATTAAAAAATGTAAGGAAACAGAGAGAAAATGAAAAGGAATAAATGAAATCAGTGGATCCCGGCAAAGGCGGAATAGGAGCAGAATAAGGAACTGGTGGTGACAAAGGTCACGCAGAAGCCAGCCTGAACAGGTGGGTTTCAGCTGCTGTCTGGAGGAGACTGCTGAGTCCACTGATCTCAGGCTCAGGGGAAGAGAGCTCCAGAGTCTGGGGGCACAGCAGCAAATGGTCTGTAGCCTAGTGTGCTGCACAACCAGTAGGCTTTAGTCATTGGACTTCAGGGACCTGCTGGGGGTGTAAGAACTGAGAAGATCACCAAAGGATCTTGGAGCTTGTCCGTGTAAGGCAAGTGAAAAGTGACTTGCAGTAGTCTAAGCGTGAGGAGATGAAGGTGTGGAGCACAGTCTCAAGTTCAGAGCGGGACAGAGTGCGACTCAGCTTAGCAATGTTCCTGAGATGGAAGAAGGAAGAGTGAACAAGAGAACTGACATGAGAATCCAGGGTGAGAGCTGGGTCAAAGGTCACACCAAGATTCCTGACAGAAGGTTTGGTGTGAGAAGAAAGCTGACCGAGAGAGTCTCTGACTTTGGGAACCAGCTTGTCTGGAGCACAGATGAGGATCTCAGTCTTATCTTCATTCAGCTGTAGAAAGCTCCCACCATCCAGGTTTTAATAGAGTCTAAGCAGGTGTGTAACAGCTGCAGCTTAGACATCTCATGGGGCTTAAAGGAGATGTACAGTTGGATGTCATCTGCATAAAGATGGTAGGAGATTCCTTTACAGGAGCTCAGGATGTGCTGAAGAGGAGGAGGAAGAGCAGAGGCCCCAGCACAGAACCTTGTGGGACATCATGGGTGATGAAGGTGGTTGAACACCTAAACAGAGAGACACCTACAGAGAAAGGACGCTCAGACAGATATGAGAACCATTCCAGAACAGATCCTGATATGCCTACCCAGTTTCTCAGTCCATCCAGCAGCTGGTGATGGTCAACATGCTTTACAGGATTTTCAAAGTAAAACTCAAACTTTGCAGCTGAAACAGGAAAATGCATGATAGCAGGCAAAAATGGGTTCGGTTTTTCTTTTCCATGAGGAAATAACAATATCACATGTTAAAAAGCTCCAAAAAGTGGATTTTTCCATGACATGGCCTCTCGAACAAGTCCCACATTGATTTAGAGTGGGTTGCATTACTCCAGGGTTGCGGGCGAGGCTGGTAGAGTACGAACTAAAACAATTAACTCGTTAAACGTTTTATTCTAATAATCCTGAATGTGCAACCCAGTAAGAATCTAGTGGTGACACCATGGTCTTTTTGCTCCACAGTCTTTATGGCAGACATATGCAGGCTAATCCAGAGCCTCCAAAGAAGAACAACGATAAGAGCAAGAAGATCAGCCGCAAGCCGCTGGCTGCAAAAAACAAATGAAGAGGACGTGAGAGGTGGAGCTGAAGCTGAAGCCAGACTCGCTGCATGTGCCTTTTTTATCTAGTCCTCTACGGAGACCCTAGAGGTTTCTGCATGTATACGCTTGCTTCTCCTGAACTCATTAATATGCTTCTGATTTTATTACTTGTTCCAACTGCTCTCAGAGGTTTCTCTCAAGAGTCTGAGGTACCTGTTGGTTTTCTTCTGGTGAAACCATGGGGC